TATATATATATATATATATATATGAATTCAGAATTACATACCTGGTATGTAGAATTATGGATGTAACTGTGTTGATCATCACCGCCGCTCATCGGATACGATTGAGAAAATGTTGACATGTTTCTCTTAAAATGTTGACACGTTTCTCTTAAAATGTTGGCAGTGTAAAGTTATACTAATATTTATAGAGAATTTTTGAGAATATCATAATTAAACATGGTTGGATTAGAACAACATTTAATAATTAATAGTTACCATGCGTTAGGCCTGGGAGTGGGGTAAAAAATAAGAATTTAATGTTGCGTACAGTTTTAAAATAGCATATATACTAATGAATTTTTTTTTTTGACCAAATGTATAAAATAATACCAAAAAAAAAAAACAAAAAAAAACATATAGTTGATTGACATATCTCAACCTTTTCCATAAGATACAGTCAGATTTAGTACCATAAAATATAATTTTTCTTTTGTCTTCTTCCAAATACAGTCAGATTTATTACATTAAAATGTAAATTTATCTTTTATTTCCTAGTTAATGCTCCTTAATAACTAAATGTACATTTTCCAAAACATATCTAGTCCATATTTATTTTCTTATGTAAAACTTACAATTTTCAGCGATTTATTTACAAAAATAAAATTTTTTATCTTGAAACAAATATTATACATGTACATATATATAAGTATAATTTTGCATCCCCCAAGAAATCAAAGAAAAAAAAAAGAAAAAAAAAAAGAGAAAGAAGAAAAAGTTTTGAAGAGTGTGGTGAAAAAATATGGAGGCTGGTTTCGTGGAAGTGATCATAGCAGTTGCGTCGATCTTGGTCATCCTCGCGTTAGCTTTTCTATGTGTTTGGTGTTGCAAATACCGAAATAGAAGACATAGTGAAACTACTTCTACTATTTAGGTTTCTATATACAAAAATATTCTTTGATGCTTATATATATTTATATATTTTGGTGAGATGCTTTATTAATGTGTTAAGCTCACAACTATAAACAATATTTTATTATATTTTCATTTATTTGTTTTAGCCAAACACTCTTATTTTATTATTGTAATACGAATTGTTATGCATATAATAATCTTAAACTTAGATTGATTTATCGAACAAAGCTTTTAATGGATTTGAATTACTAGTGGATTTTTAAAGTTCAATGACTTTTTAATGAGGTTAAAGTGGATTTGATGTCATTATTAGTTGGTTTAAAGAAAGTATTACTATTGATAAATAAAAAAAAGTATTACTAGTGGATTTGAAATTCATAATTAATAGATTTTATTACTTATGGCCTTATGGAATGAAATAAAAATAAAATTATGGCAATCAATTAGTCTTCATAATTCCAACATAATTAAGTACCAATTTATGACTGTATAAATGAAAAAAAATATATACATTGTAATATGTTGGAGATAGTTTCTTGATTAGTCTGGACTTCTATATCCAAATTCAATGGACTTCTACTACTCGTGGATTTTTAATCTTCCCCTCGCTTGTATTAATATTCTTGAACGGCTTCGGACAATTTATTAGGGCATCCTTAATGCAAAAATCTAAGATTTGCGAAAAAGATATCTTATATACGATATTTGTTTTTGCAAATCTTAGGATAAGATACTCCTAAAAATCTTAGCATTAAGGATGGTCTTAAGGCCTTCTCATTTGGATGGATCCGATTGACGAGATCTTAAACCAACATTTCCTTTGGAAGTGTGGTCAAGTGGCTAGTGGTGTACTCATGTTGTTTACCTTCCTTTATTGTACAAGTATTGTTGAAAAATAAAATACATGTCTTTATTATATAGTTTACATATTGTATTCCTTATATTGCTACCATGATAAATGATAACACAAAGGAATAGTTACAAAGGAAAGGTATAACAATGAGGATTTGAACAATACATAACGATATGGATAATTTCAATAGTCACTTTTTCTTAAGAACGACATAATATACCATTTGTTTCTTACACTTTTCGAAGTCGATCGGGTGGTCGGAGAGTTTCTTAGCAAGTCGATTGAATAGCTCATCGACCTCACCGATTCCAAAATGTTTTTCTATAAATATAGAGAGAAGGGCTCGATACATGGAAGTGATGAAGTTGTCGCTTAGCTTCACAGCTTCCAATGGATGGCTTACTGTCTCCATCAGCTCAATTGTAAAACTTTCGTTTTGCTCAATCACTCTTTTCATTTCACTAAACTGAGGAAAATACAAAGGCAAGCTGAACATGTCGATCTTTTCATGAGTTGTTATTCCCTACAATGGAAAAAAGAAAATAATGTTGGTATTAAATAATATTGATATATTTGTAACCAATTTCTCATGACCCTAAGCATGAAACAATATATATCATCTAGGCAATAAAAACTATATATGATGCATTGAATTGGATAATAATTAACAAACAAACTAATAAAATTCAGAATATATCTTACCAATGTGGCCATATCTTGAAGACAATCACTTATGGCATCCTTCACAATACCTGGCCATGTCTCATACATGGCCACACCATCAGGCAAACAAAATCCTAACACAATCATCAATCCTCCGGAAACAAGTTCTTCGGCTCGAGCTTTAAGAAAGAGGCTCATGTCTTTTGTGTACTGGACCATAAAAGCATTGGTAACTGCTTCTATCGAATCATTACAATGAATATAATGTTTTTTCCAAGCTGGAGATTTCTTGTCAAGAACTTGTTCCGGAACTTTGGAAAGCCAGTGAGTCGTGAAGGAAGTGTTACCGATGTGGATGCTATTTCTTGGTAACACTCGGCCATAGAAAGAGCCTGGCACTCCCACCGAGAAGTATTCTTGTCTAAAGGAAGGAGGTAGAGTTCTAAAGAGTGTGTTGAAGTCATTGCTGGGCTGATCACTAAAGCAAACTTGGAACTCGAGAGGCACAAGACTATTTTCTTGACTTTCTTTAAGGTGTTTGAGTTTCACAGCCTCAATAATATTTTGAACAGCATGAAACGTGTTAGGGCCAATAGAACAGCCATAATCAGCAATCGTAAAAGTACTTAGATCGGGATTCAGATTCAGGAGATCGAGCTTTTCTAAAATGTATTGTTTTGTCTTTTCTTCAACCACATCTATGGCAGCTTTCTGTATCACAAATATATGTTTGTTATTACGTGTGCTAGAAGTAATCACAACATTCTAATTACAACCTTATGTATATAAGGTAAAACCTCTATAATCAATACTCGAAATATTAATATTCATCAATAAAATTTATTCGTTCTTAGGTCATCATCAATGCAAGGTTTTTTTTTGGTGAACAAGAGGGGATAAGTTCCCTATATATTTATGATAATTTAAAAATTACATTAGAATTCGAGGTGAAAACGCAGTTTCATTAATTTGCATCCTCTAGTAAAATTGGGTTAATTCTAGTAGTGTTTACTTTTTATTCTTTAATTTTTTTTTTGTTGAAACTCATCTCCAACAAGAACACGAAACTGTAAATCAAAAATATATAAGAACTATAAATAATTATTTTTTTAATAAAACTTGTATTGGAATGTTTTCAAAAAATATGAAAATAGAAAATCCTCATCATAATTAATCAATAATTTAAAAATTATTAAGTTATAAATAAATTAATACCTCTATAAGTTAACAAAATTTCATATCTAGGATTTAGCAAAATCATCATAAGTACTCTGTAATATGAAGATTTAGTTTACAAAAAGTATATATATATATATATGAATTCAAAATTACATACTTGGTATGAAGAATTATGGATGTAACTATGTTGATCATCACCGCCGCTCATCGGGTGCGACTGAGAAAATGTTGGCATGTTTCTCTGAAGATGTTGGTAGTCTAAGTTTCAACATTTATAAGCAAATATCATAATTAAACAGCACTTAGCACATATAATTAAATAATTACCATGCGCAAGAAGTGGTAAAAAAAATAAGATTTTTTTTGTCGGCCAAAAAATATATATATATATATATATATAAACTTTATTTTTTGTGGGTAGAAATAAGAATTAAATGTTGCTTACAATCTTTTAATAATATGTAGCATATAAAGACAAAATTTGACCAAAAAAAACATATAAAAACGTGCAGATAATGATACATAAATAAACAATTATATAGTTGATTGTGATATTTCAATTTCTTTTATAAGATACAGACTGTATATCATAAAGTCAAGAAACAATTATATACTATTATTAAAATTGTATAATTATTGATTTTTCTTCTAGAAGAAGAAGCTCTGTTTCTTGAAATAGAGAAAACGCACTTAGATGTGTTCGGTGGTTACACAGTAAGTCAATAACCATTATCAGCTAATCTCTAAAGTTTGCATGAATATGTTTTGTTTTTGAACGTGAAAGCCAGAACGGTATAATAAATACACAACGATGTAATACATATATTGATTATTCTAATTTGAATTGCTAAACATATAAGAATCCTAAACTTACAAAAAAAAGAGTTAATTCAAAACTTTCAACTTTTATAAAATCTTACAATAACTGTAAACACACATTTTAATATATCAACCGGAATTTAATGCATTTAAACTACAAAAACTATTTTTCTAAACTTCAAAATTTCAACAATATTATAAATCAGTAATTACAGCTGCGGTGAGAATGGTTTATGATAAATCTCCCACGAATTCTAACATATTTTCCAACTTTTACTAGATTATTTAAAGTTATGTATTAAAGATGTCTGATTGACCAACAAGTATAAAAATTGCCTTAAATTGTCTTAGAATTTGCTATTCTGCTTATAACATAAAAGAGAATGACATACTTATAAATACATATTCATTATCAATATATCTTTATTTTGTTAAGCCTTTTAGAAAAATATATATATATATATATATATCTTTTTTTTTGTCAAACATATATATATCTTTATTTTGTTGTCTATCTCTTATACTTATCATTTTGAACAAAACTGTATGGTCTCAGTCTCATGTAACAGTTTACATTTATTTTTAAAGTATAGTAGCTTGCTAATTTTAATATATATTTAATCATAAAACATTACATATTCTATAATATTAATTTGCTAATAATTAATAGAAAAAATGTATTAGTTTGCTAATAACGAATAGTGAATGAACGAGTTCTATAATTATGTTTTAAAAATGTACTAAAATCTCAATTAATCCTTTATTTGGTGTCGTAACTCGATCACTACGTGTAAGTGTACGTACAGAACAACAGAACAACACCTTACCGTTTACATATTTTTTCCTTATATTGTTATTATGATAAATGTTAAATTACAATTCACAATGGAAGAACATATATCATAACCTAAAAATAAAGAAGACAAATTTTTGAAATGCTTACAAAGGATGGAAATAATACTGATCAGGGTTTGAAGAAACATAACAAGATATGATAATCTCAATGTTTATTTTCGTTTAAGAACTATATAATAGACCATTTTTTTCTTACACTTATCAAAATCAATAGGGTACTTAGAGAGTTTCTTATCAAGTCGATAGAATAGTTCATTGACCACACCATCTCCAAAATGTGTTTCTATAATCGAAGAGAGAAAGGCTCGAAACATGGAAACGATGAAGTCATTGGTTAATTGCTTATCCTCCAATGGATGGCTTGTAGTCTCCATCATCTCAATTGTAAAGTTTTTGTTTTGCTCAATGGCTCTTTTCAGTTCACTATATTGAGGAAAATACACTGGCATGCTAAACAAATCGATCTTTTCTTGTGTCGTTGCTCCCTACAAAAGGTAAGAAAATAGACTTCATTATGGTTATTACTAGTTTCTCCATGAAGAAACATCCAACGAAATATATGATCTAGGCGTCTGATGAGAACATAACCGAAGTAAACCGCTGTCGACTAAGATAAGGATCGAAACGATGAGAATATCATACGTGATCTGTTAGTGGTTTCGATAGATTATGTTAAATCTTTGATTCATGTATATCTCCTATATTCTTAGGATCTAGATAGCTCACCCTTAATATGTATAAATACTCATAACATCTTATGATGAAATATATGGAAAAAATGTTTAAAGTCTATTGTTCTTATAAGCTCTTGATTGGGACCTCAAAAAATGTAATAATGATGCATGCATTGGATTTGAAAAAGAGAAAAAAAAAATTGTATGAAACGTTATATCTTACCGATGTAGCCATATCGAGGAGACAATCACCAATTGTGTCTAACACAATACCTGACCATGTCTCATACATAGCCACATCATCGGGAAAACATTCTCCTAACACGATCATCAATCCTCCAGGGACAAGTTCTTCGGCTCTAGCTTCAAGAAAGAGGCTCATGTCTTTTGTGAACTGGATCTTGTAAGCATTGGTGACTTCTTCTATCAAATAATTACAATGAATGTAACTTCTGTTCCAAGCTGAAGATTTCTTGTCACATACGTGTTCCGGAACTTTGGACAACCAGTGAGTCGTGTAAGAAGTGTATCCAATGTGGATGCTATTTCTTGGTAACACTCGGCCATAGAAAGAGCCTGGAACTCCCATCGAGAGATATTCTTGTCCAAAGGAAGAAGGTAATGTTCTAAAGAGTGTGTTGAAGTCATTGTTGGGCTGATCATTGAAGCATACTTGGAACTCGAGTGGCACAAGACTATTTTCTTGACTTTCTTTAAGGTGTTTGAGTTTCACAGTATCAATAATATTTTGAACTGCATGAAACGTGTTAGGACCAATAGAACAACCAAAATCAACAATCCTAAAAGTACTAAGATGGGGATTCAGATTCAAGAGATCGAATTTTTCTAAAATATTTTGCCTTGCCTTTTCTTCAAATCCATCTATAACTGCTTTCTGTATAAATAAATGTATGGTCATCATTACAAAAACAACATAATAACAAAACCATCATATACATATATTGATTACATTACATACTTGGTATGAAGAATTATGGATGTAACTGTGTTGATCTTCACCACCGCTCATCGGGTACGATGACTGAGAAGATGTTGACATGACTATGTGTTTATGGATACTCACTATCTTTAATCTCGTAAAATGTTGGCAGTCCAAGTTTCAATACATACTGTATATGATATATCCTTAAAGATATGATAGAACTTTGATTGACTTGCATATTTAATCAAGGTTGGAACAGGTCATAAGTGTTAATAAGATAATTTATCATGCGTTAGGAGTGGGGGAAAAATGTTAGTTTAAATGTTGCGTATAATTTGTAAAAGTTGACCAAATAATTAAAGTTGCTAAACAAATCGAGAAAAAACGTGATAATACTAATAATGATACATAATAAATCAATATATAAAACGTGTTAAAAAAAATCAATAAATAAAAATATGTAGGATAGGCTTTCATTGATATTAATTTCCCAATTATTAATAGGGCTTATTAAATATCGTAAGTCTGGAATATTTTTAAACATTTGACTATTTAAGTTTCTTTCTATATTAGTAGGTTTGTAATATGATTTTTAAAGTGCACGTATGAAAAACGTAATTATTAAAAAAAAAATGTAAGAAATATATAGTAATTTTAGATTTAGTAAACAACAAGTGGTTTTTTTGAAGACATATATATCGCAATTTTGCAAGTTTCAGAAACAACATAAAGGTGAGTTATATACATAATAAAGATAATGCTTGTTTGTACATTCTCAATTTGCATATAGAGAAAAGAGTTCTATTGTTAAGGGAAAGCTTATGTCTTTAGCAAATATGAGAATTTTTATATGATAGAAATTGTACATGATATAGAATTTGACACATATAACATTTATTAAGCTTTTATTAGACACGAAGATCCACCATTTTTCGGATTCTAATTCTTCTTCTTCTTCTAATCAAATTGGTCCTTATCAGGAGTCCTAAAAACCTTGGAAACACATACATTTCATATTTTTCCGAGGGGTAGGCATGCCACAATTAGACCTCGAATGGCTCGGGTGCCCTTGCAATTGAAGTGCGGGAGTGAAAGCGATGCAATTAGTTAGAATTGTGAATGGGAATGTGATTCGCATTAGATGCAATTACAGCATCATGCGCTAGCCCACTATCCTCAACCAAAGGTTCCTCACACAAAATAAAACAGTCCGGAAGTTTTATACAAAACCCAGACTCGATATGTTTTGGCTGGTATAGAATTTTACAAAATATGTTCTTCTTGACAAGTTAAACAAAGAAACAAATAATAAATGTTTATCAACTAAAATGAATTAATCGAGTTTAAATAATTGAGAGCAGAATACTAGTCAAGGATATACATAAATGGTGAAGAAAAACAAAACACTAATCTAGCGATTTTGGAACATGATTATTTTCAGACAATATTGTTCATGCATTGATCTTAGCTGGCTTGGCTAAGAAGGTAGGGTTTTCATTACCAGCCATTATAACAACAATCTTTGGTTCCATATCTAATGGCTTCAACACTTGCTTCTTCCCTGATTTCTCTTGCTCGTCGATGCAAGAACTCGAATCGTTTTGCTTGTGGTAACAAGCATAAGCCATGGCGATCAATGAAAGCGCAAAAAGGCCAAACATTACTCCCCACGCACTAATCTTTGAGAGAACAGGAGAGTTCAAGTTATCTAACCCGGAGTTAACAGGGACCATTGAATTGCTATCAAGACTCATTTCCTCGTTGATCTTGAACTCTCTGATGATCTTGAACTCTCTGATGATCTTCCCTCTTTGCTTCTCGAGTTTGTGTAGTTTGTTTATAATATATGGTTTTACCAAAAAGTGTGCACAGAAGTTAGATGCCAAGTTGCTCTTATGAGTTTTTGTCCTAAAAAGGATTTATTCTTTCTTGAACACTTGAGATATTCTTGTCTCGCTTTTCTTATCAAGCTTATATCCCTTTGTGTTTGTGAAGTTAATACTTATATTTTTCTTAAATAATGTTGATTCCATTGAGCTTTTTTTACAAGACATATAAATTTATTTTTTTCTCACTGTCATTGGTTTGAATTTTATTTGAAAATATTAACGTAAATTAATAGAAATTTGGTTTGGTTCGATTTGATTCGAGGCACGGAAATGTATTATTAATAATTTTTGTTTTATAGTCTATAGCTCATATAAAATCTAGAATTGTATGAAGTTTTAATTTAGTCTATTCGGTATGGTTATGGTACACTAGTTATATAGTTTGGATTTGTTTTCAATGGTTTTCCAATCAACAAAACCAACCGGTTTATAAATTTTTGTTTGGAACCCATTTTTACATTTCAGTTTAGAATTGGTTTTTGTTTCTTGGTTAATGATATTTTTTCCCAACAATAACTAATTATAAATATACATTCTGCTGGGATAGATTGCTCAATGGTGTTAGGACGCAGGTTTCAACTAATTTGAAAGCAGAAATAATTTTTTTTTTTTGATAATATGAAATTGCTGATATATATATGAGGAAAGTCTAAAATTGAAAAAAAGATCACAAAGAATACATGATCATGAGATAACAAGCAGAATCAAAATCCAATACAAGTTGTAATATTTATTTTTAAAAAGAAAAAAAAAACAAACAGTCTGAATAATCAAACTATCAAACCTAAATAATTAGGTTCCAAAAATAAATTATTTGTTTTTATTCGTCAAAAAAATAAAGTAGCATCATAAATCATATGATGATTGTCTTCATTTGTTCATGCCAGTAGCATTCTTCACTGATTCAGTAGCTCCTTGTGCCTTCTCCTTAATCTGCTGGCCAGTCTATATATATACATACACATGAAACAATTAACATATATCAAAGTTCTTTATAAGAATTCTTATATAATTTAGGTTATTTGGATTTGACAAACCTCTTGGAGAGACTCCTTGGCAGATTGGGCAGCATTGCTAGCCTTGTCCATCATGGTGCTAGCCTTCTCCTGAACCACCAATGCATCAACCAGTTCATATAAAAAGTTACATTATCATGCATGACCAAAAGTTTTGGGTCAGCTCTTGTAAAGGTTACCTGAGTTTGGCCTTTGGCTTGGCCGGCTTGGAAGCTAATGTTCTGGGAGTTGCTTGACATTTTCGAGTAACTGAGAGATAAGTTTTTGCTTTGAATCAAAGTGTGTTTATGGGATTGAATTTGAGTTATGAGTTTCCCTTAAAGGTTCCATTGTTTATATAGCTCTGATGAAGCTTTCATATTCAGACACTTGTCATCGAAGTGTTGGCAAATATGAGGTGTTCCGGAGCAAGAGGAAGATTAGGATGATTGAATCCATATTTAGTTCAGATCAGAGTTATATTTAGCTCGATTGACTCGTTCTAATGATTGTGAATCTCGTCTTTAAGTTTTAGTACTGTTTTTTATTTGATTAATTCAAACGTTATTGCAAGGCATGCGTCCATCTTCTTAGGATTTGATGTTGAATCCTCTTAGAAGCATTAGTTGAGAAAATGATTCATCAATAAAATTTGATCTGTCACCCCCAAACAAGAGACTCAAAAGTCTAACATTGATCATGATCAGTACTGATCTTATGCATGCACTCACTTGTAATCTTTTAAACACTTAATTGTAACGTGTTTTTGTCCATAATGTATATAGCTTATATATAGTTTTATCTTTACTACACGATGAGAAATTCAAACTAAAATTTTCTCCACAAATTTGAGACGGTTTTGATTACTTCTACCACAAATTCATCAAATGGTTCTTGATAAGCAGAGAGAGACTCTACTTCTACGCAAGCAAGTTTAGTGAGTGGACTTCTATTTTCTATGTCATGAGATTGGCGTACAACACAACGTTACCTCACCAATTACATCAGAGGTTTTGGTTATCATGACTTAGGAAATAGAGTAAGAAATTTCCTGAAATTACAAGAATCGGATTTTACTAGACCAAACCAAACTAAATAATTTTATGTTTCAAAAGAAAAATTGTAGATAGATCATAATTTTTCAGATATTAGAGATATGACATAGAAATTTGCCTACAATAGTACTGTGATATCATCAAGATATCAACTGAAAAGATCCAACCCAAATTTTTTTAATTTTTAATCATGCAACCGGTTTAACCCAATTAATTTAAACCAGACTAAATCATATTTAAATTAATTAAACCAGATCAAGCCAACCATAATCAATCAAACCAGCGAAAAACATTAATTTGACAATCCAATAAACCAACTATATTAATCAACAATTCCATCAATCATTCCAAGTAACAAAAGAAACTCAAACCCTCTTAAAAGCATTATACAAGCATCAATACAATAAACGACTCAATGCTGTACCAAGCTGTATCCGTTGTCTATGATTGTTATTTTTATTTATTTTTCTCCCAAAATATGTACCTGTTGGTATTCTATATTAACATTTTTGCAGATATTTTTGAAAAACATTTGGGAGTTGGAAATTATTTACAAGGCTATGCCATTGACATTAATTATTTTGTTAAAATTTTTAAAACTAATAATAATCATTTTAAATATAATCCCAAAACTCACTTCCTAATAAATATAATATCATTTATTATTTTCCACCTTTTCTCAAATATTTCTCCAAATAATTTATATAATCTTATTTGTTTTAATTTATTTTATTACATAAAACATATGTATAATAAAAAAACAAATTTTTTCGCATATATTGCAATTTCAAAATTTTAAAACGGACATATATTTAGCATATGTACAACATCCCATATCGAGTAGATTTTTTTTATAATGGTTCAGAATTTTTATAAATAAGATTATAACATTCCAATTACGAAAAACGGGACTATAAACCTGGGTTTAATTTTTTGGGGAATATATGACGGGATGAGTTGTAAAACGGGAATAGTTATTAACTACATATAAAGTTTAAAATATTTTAAAACTTTTTAAAACTTTCATTGTTATTAATATTATACCTCTACACCAAGTTTATACTAAAATATTATTGATTTTGCTCTTTTTTTTTCAACACTGGGCCACAACTGGCCGGACCATTAGCCTAATCCCTACAGATATGTAAGGAGCGAAACTCGATCCCTGGTATGATGGTGTATATCCATCAGTGGACTTTTTATTTGCCTCTATTTTTTTAAAAATGGATTTACTTTTTGCGACGATTTGAAATGGCCTAAACCGGTTCGAATTTCTCCGGAAGAAGAACCAGACCAGAGTATTTATCAATAATTGAGTAAATAACCGAAATTAAAACCGGGGACGAATTGAAACCCGAATCTGTCCGGAGAAAATTAGAAACGAAACCGAATTTCATAACAGTAATTTGAACTCTGTACCAAATAGATTGTAGTTCAGTAACCAGCCGAAATTAAAATCCCGAACCGAATTGAATGTAACTGAATAACCGGGAACGGACCGGTTTATCGAAAATACGTATATTTCCTCTCCTCTTGCTACTATTAACAACTTTACCCTTTCTCTCTGCTTCACTCGAAAACCTCACAAAAAGCTAAAACCCTAATTTACAACATCGTCGTGACTTAATCCCAAATTGAGTTGATTCAAGGGTTCTTAAGATGATTGAACATGGCAACTCAGCTTTTGATTACCGGAGTATAAGAGAGGTTGCTGCAAACGCCACCGCTGGTTAGTTCGATTTATGTGTTTTTTGTCCAAGTTTTTCTTTTGGTTCGTGTAGATAGAGATGGGTTCTTGATTTTGGGAACTTTCAGGGGCAATCGCGGTTTGTCCATTAGATGTGATAAAAATAAGGTTAAAGGTTTCAGTGAGGCTTAGCTTAGAAACGAATTGGAATCTATCATGTGTGTGCTCGCTTGATTGTTAAGGATTAGAGAACTTTACTGTATTGCTAAGTTTTTTGACAAGAGTCATCTTTTTTTTGGTTTAGGTAATAATGATCATGGTCTTGAGGATTCAGGGAATCCATTTTATGGAAGTTCAGATGAAGAATATAGTGAAGCTCGTGTCTTGGACAATGATAATAAGTTGAGACGTGAGCAATTCCACACGGTATTCTTTTTTTTTTACTATATATATCATTCTCTCTTCTGTAAATTTGGTTTTCAGTTTTGATCAAGTTCTCTATATGTCTGGCTTTTCTCGTAAAATCGAAATCGCAGGCCGGATACCGTGAAGGGATTGCTGCTGGTAAAGAAGCTATTGCTCAGGAAGGTTATAACTTTGGCTATAAGGAATCGGTTACTGCAGGCTACAAGTTTGGTATTGTTAGAGGTGTTTCCAGGTAGATAAGAGTAATAAATTAGTCATAAGAGCTGCTGCAATGTGTTTGAAGATATACTTAATTCTGTTTTGGCCCTTTTTTTTTGAAGTGCACTGGCTTTTCTCCCGAATGAGTTAAGAGAAAAGCTAATCGATGAAGAAGAAACTAGAGACAAGTTTCAGAAATTACACACTTCTGTGCATGCTCTCTCAACGGAAGTAGCAATGAAGCGGTTTTATGAAACTTTGACTACAAAGCAAGGAGAAGAGAAGAGTTCTGGTTCAGGTATTAATGCCACAACTGACTTGGGAAGCTATGTTACTGAGCTAAGCTCTCTTCTTGAAAAATCTCCTACGATTGAAGTTGATTTGGATACATGAAAGGAGTCTTGTTCTATGATCATTGTCAAGCAAAAGCAAGATTAGTAGTGGATCTTGTTTCCAAACCAAACTGTTTGTAACTTCTGTTCTGTTTAGTTGAGAAAATGATTCATCAATAAAATTTGATATGTCACCTACAACAAAGAGACCTGAAAGACTAACATTGATCATGATCAGTACTGAGCTTATACATGGATTCACCTCTGTTCATTTCCTGTAAAATACTCTTCGATATAAGAGATCTATCACCTACATGACTCCAAAAGAATCTCAAAACATCTTTATCACCAGCGTACGAGGCACTGATGGATTTATACAGTTTCAGGTTTACCATTATCCGTCGATTGTACATTTTATCGAACAAAGCAGAAGCTTCGGTGACATTCCCTGTTCTCCAATACGCATACGCCATGCTAGTGTATATTACGCTATCTCCCATCAAACCCTTCTTTTCCATTGACTCGAACAAGACTTTGGCGTTATTCACCTGTTCTAACTTACAAATTCTTCTTATTAATCCTCTGTATAGAGCAATATCAGGGCAAAGACCTCTTTTCTCAAACTCCTCTGGTAGTTTTGCGATTTCTTCTTGCTTGTTCTGGTTATAGAATCCATCCACGAGCCAAGAATAGGACGAATATCCTGGAGATAAGCCTTTCTCTAGCATAGAGAACAGTTCCTCCTTTGCATTGTCCAGTTCCAGCACTTTACAAAACCCGTGGATCAATGCCTTGTAAGAATATATGTCAAGTTTTAGCCCCGATTCGATCATCTTCTTCTTTACCTTCACTGCTGATACCATGTCCCCAATTTTGCAATATGCGTTGATCAAAGTATTGCAGGTGATGTTATCAGGTTCTATCTTTTTTCCACTCATCTCAGTCAAAAGCCGGTTAGCTTCTCGTATTCTTCCATCAAAACATAACTTATGAAGGATCGAGTTGTAAGTGACAACTCCAGGAGAAAACCCTCTTGACTCCATTACCTCGCGTAACCTCAAAGCTTCATCTATATCATTCATTCTACAATATCCATCAATCAAAGTAGTATAAGTAACATGGTTCGCCGTAACAACGCCTTTGATCTCCCGAAATAGCCTCGTCGCTTCCCTCATTCTACCTTCTCTACTAAACCCATGTATGAGTGAGTTATAAGTGACGATATCAGGAGCAACCCCACTTCTCTCCATCCTGTCTTGCACAGATAAAGCCTCGTAATGCATACCCTTTTTGCAATACACTGAGATCAACGTGTTATAGGTAAAAAGATCAGGAAACACACCCTTTTCTTCCATCTCTCCTAACAATTTCTCGGCTTTCTCAAAATCGCCAGATTTAGAACAAGCATGAACCAATACATTATAAACATGAATGTTAGCCACAACACCTAACTTAACCATCTTCTTGAAAACCTTCCAAACTGTGTCAGTCAATCTCTCTTTCACCAAACTACTCAGTAACACAGTACAAGCCTGCAAATGAGGTTTCAATCCACAACTCCTAATCTGCTCAAACACCGCAATCGAATTATTGACCATCCCGGATTTAGCATAAAATATCATCAACCAACTAAAAACGTGAGATAAAACTTCTGGGTCTTCAGAAACACCTCCAACTAAAGATCTCAAAACCAGAGGAGATGACAAAAGTTCTCTCTGAGACAATTTATCGAGCAGTTGGTGTGCAGTTTTGAAATGCTTGTGTTTCGTGAGAATCAAAATCATTTCCCATGATGATTGTAAACTATGCTTACAACTTGGTAAAGAATCAGTCCAGCTATAGAAACTCCATGAAAGAGAAGCTCCGCCATAACCAGAATACGAAGAAAGCTCTGAGATTACCTGTGTGATTATCGCTGATTTCAATAACCCAGAATCAGCTTTGTGTTTCAGAATATTTTTCCAGTTTCCTTTCAACACAGCTCCACAGATGCTTTGTGCAATCAAAGCTTCTCGATTCGTAGACAACAAATTCACCATTGTTTTGTGCTCAGGTGTTGCAACGGAGAAGAGAATCATGCAGCGACGATTTGAAATGGCCTAAACCGGTTTGAATTTCTCCGGAAGAAGAACCAGACCGGATTATTTATCAATAATTGAGTAAATAACCGAAATTAAAACCAGAACCGAATCGATTGCTTAGTAATAACCGGGGACGAGACGGTTTATGAAAATCCGAATTGAAACCCGAATCTGTCCGAAAGCAAATTCGAAACGAAACCGAATTTCATAACAGTAATTTGAACTCTGTACCAAATAGATTGTAGTTCAGTAACCAGCCGAAATTAAAATACCGAACCGAATTGAATGTAACTTAAGAACCGGGAACGGACCGGTTTATTGAAAATAGGTACATGTCCTCTCCTCGTGCTACTATTAACAACTTTACCCTTTGTCTCTGCTTCACTCGAAAACCTCACAAAAAGCTAAAACCCTAATTTACAACATCGTCGTGCCTGACTTAATCCCAATTTTTCCGGGACCGTCGACGCCGATAGAAAGAAGATGAAAGAGACGAGAAAGCTTCAAAAGAGAAATCTTAACGGCGGTAAGGTTTAATTTTGTCACGTTTGTTTCTTCCTTGCTTAATTGGGTTTCACGATTCTGAATTGATTTTATGAGGTTTACGGGTGTTTGTGTATACTAAGATTTGTGTTCTTAGAGTTAACATGTTTGATTTCGAAACTTGAGAGGTTTAATTTGGAATGACATTGAACTCAATTACGAAAGGTTCAATCTTGTGAAGCAGAAGTTAATTGCTTTTGCTAATTTTTGTTTGTATAATTGAAGTGAGGGGTGAAACCAAGGTAGAAGTAACTGATGTGAAGAGAGTTGGGAAAAAAATACAGAGGAAGAAGAAAGAGAAAGTGAGCAATGTTGACTTAAGCGAGCAACCTCAGGCTTCACAGCTTCAAGGTGAATGTTTTGGCTTTGATGAATTTGAAATAGAGTTATAAGATGTGTTCTGCTGATGAATTTAGTACCTTTTTTGATTCGATTACAGCTATTTCAAGTGAGAAACCTAAAACAAAGAAGAAGAAGATTCAGAAGAGTAAGGAAATAAATAGCTCCCCAGCTGATGGGAAGCTCAGTGGGAAGATGAAGAAGAGAAAAGAGAAAGGAGGTGATGTTGATACTATAACCGAACCGAATCTAGAAGGTGAATTATTTTAAATTTGGCAGAGCAATCTTCAACTACTCAGTTGTTAGGTTATGGTATTGAGTTTAGTATCTTTGGTTCTTGTTACAGCTATTTCGACTGAGAAAGTTGAAGAAAAGAAGAGCAAAATGAACAAGACAAAAAAGAAAAGGAAGGCTAAGGAAATAACTAGGGCTTCAGTTGAAGATGATAATCAGAAGAGAGAAGGTGAGTAGTACATTACCATGTTAGTTATATTGTGTTTGTCTCATGTTAGTTCTCTCAATCATTTGCATGGAAATTTAGCTAGTTTTAACTCTTCGTATAATGTTTTCTTTTATCACTATGTGAACTTTACTGTCTATCTAACTCTGTCATATGATATTCATGTGAGGTTTTTATGAATGGTGTTTATGTTTGGCATGGCCGTAATCGATCTTAAATAAGTAACTAGTAGTACAGAGCTGTTTGGTGCAGTCACTGTCTTGTTTGGGTTCTTGTTTAACAGAGAATCGTTTTTTGTAGGCAAGTCTAAGAAATCAAATAAGAAGAAAAAGATGGACATGACCTCTATGAAAGAGAATCAAATTGAAGAGGAAGAAGATGTTTATGAAATTTCTTCAGGCGATGAGGATTGCACAAAGGGAATGAAAAGTACGAATGCTCACATTGTTAGCTGCATTTAGAAAAGCATGAAAACTCAATCTGTTTCTGTCTTAACTTGATAAGTCCTCTCTGATACTGCAGAGTGGGTTACTGATTACTATGAGAGTAGACCTGGTATAGACGAGCTGCAAAAGAGAATTGATGACTTCATGACTGCTCACGACGAACGCCTTGAAAAGGTTCTCCTATCCCTCCTATATTTTTAAGCGTTCATGTCTGTTGTCTAAGTGACTACAGTGTTTTTGTCTAATGCTGTCATGTGTTGAATAGGAGAAACAAGAAAAAGAAGCTAAAGCTGCAGAAGGTGGATGGACTGTGGTCGTCCATCACAAAGGAAGGAAAAAGTCAACAGAAGCTGAATCTGGAACAGCCGTTGGATCCTTTTCTCAGGCTTCTTTGGAGGATAAGATCGCTAAGAAGAAACAGAGTGAGCCAGTCGCTCATGGTTTCTACCGTTTCCAAAGGCGAGAAGCACAACGCAACGGTAAGTCTTGGCTTTCTCTATCCAAAGCTTCAAACTTGGTTTGTGTTAGTTTCGATTTGGTTCGTCTTACGTTTTATACGCATCCTTACTCATAAACTGCCCTTATTCTGATGATTGATTCTTGTTTTTGTGTGTTTCTTGTTTGTTGACAGAAATCTTGGCGCTTCAGAGTAAGTTCGAGCAAGACAAGAAGAGGATACAACAACTTCGAGCTGCTCGTAGGTTTAAGCCTTTCTAAGAAAAGGAAAAAAACAGATCCCGCATGGAACAACATGAGTTTTTTAATGTGGGTTTTAGCCTCATGAAACTCAGGAGCAATGTCATGAATGTGTTTTATGATCAAATTTTGTAACTGACAATTTCAAGCTGATAAACAAAAAGAAATATTTTTTCTTTCCCTTAGCAAAAAATAATAATATGAGGTTTAGCAATAAGAGAAGAATGACTTGTTTGACCCAAAAAAAAAAAAAAAGGCAAAAGAGAAGAATGATAGTATTGAAAATGATTTGATGATAATCAATGAAAATATTCGATTTACAAGGCCCATTGGTATTTATCTCTTCTCTCCTACAATGGCACAAACAAACCAACACATTATTAGTACCAAAAATCTAGACAGAAGATATTGTTTAAGTTAGTTCTTATCGAGTAGATTCATTATTTATCGCTAGACTTTTTCCAGTAGATTCATTATTGTTTAAGTTAGTTCTTATCGAGTAGATTCATTATTTATCGTTAGACTTTTTCCAGAAGCGGATAAAGTATTGAAGCATTGAATACACTATGATTGAAGCAGTAACGAACTAAAGACCGCAATAAATTCATACATGAACCTTAAAGTCTCTGTATGTTTTGTTCTTCACCGATATCAAGGGAAGGTTTTGTGTAAATGTGTTACTTGTTTCAGAGATGTGATGTGGAGGCAACTGAGATATCACAATAATAAATAACCAAACGAATTGCCTCCAGTGTACCGTATCCGAAGTCATCATTGTTTCTTCTCCAAAATCTTCCTTCTCCCAACGTCAGCGTGTCAAAAGCTAGAGGAGGTTAACGTGTGTAGTCTGCTCCCTACTCTATTATACTGCAAAAGCTATTATTTGTTTAGTGCAAATCAAGTTAGGGATTGGAAAGTAACTTTTGGTGTCAGGTGGAGAGAGACTTAATTTTTTTTTATCAAGGTCGAAAATTTTGTTTCCCATTTATATGGGTACATAAATTTTATAAGCCCAAAAATTAATCCGGAAAAAAAAGACATAATAGTAAACAAATACACTTCAAAAATTAATTATAAAGAAAAAAACAAAAAATTATATAAAAATATATAAATTATTAGTTAATCAGAAAATAAATATGCAAATTGCATTTTCATTGATCACGCAGGATTTATACATTTGTAGATGATAGATAATTAGATATATCCTTTTGTGATCTTACTTCATATATTTTGGCATTTTGCTACTCCATTTTATATATAATTTTACAATCTAAATTTGCCAAATTCCATGATTGTAACACATTTGTCTCTTGTCTTCACCAACCCATAAGTCTCCTCTTAAGCTCCTTCCTACAAAGACACAAACAAACACAACACAAAGTTAAGACCAAAACCTTATAAAACCTTATAAAACCTTATAATACATAATAAATGACTAAACCAGAGTATTAAACAGGTGAGGTTAATTACATCATGAGTTGGCGATCTAGTGCACCTGTAGACATCATACCACGATTCTCATATGCCCTCCGGATAAGGTATGGAACCGCAGTATCAACAGGCCCGTATGGCATGTACTTGCTCACATTGAAACCAGCCCTCTTCAATCCGAAAGATAACGCATCTGACATCCCGTAAAGCTGTGCAAACTCGATCTTCCCATTCTCTTTATCGATCCCTAGCTCACTTGCTTTCCTTGACCCTAGTTTACCTAAGAAAGATAAACAAAGAATTAAGTATAACAATGTCTTAAGGACAATATAATCATCAAATCTAGGGGTAAGTAAAGACATATATATATATATACCAGAGTCAGTGTTATGCGTAGCTAGAATAACAGCAATGCCTGATCCATTTGAAGCTTTCTCCATAAGGAAACTCATACAGTCATTGTAACAATCGTGCGTATCTTGAATCGTATCATGAACAGGTGACTTGTGACCCAAGGAATCTGCTAACCTAGCTTCACTAGACATATAAGCACCTCTCACAAGTTTGAACCCAATAGGAACATTCATTTTCTCCGATTCTCGTAAAGCCAAATGCAATCTCTCTCCCGCATCTTTCAAATACGCTTGAACCGTGTTGTACACGATAGGTCGATCTTTATCAGAATTGAACATTATAGCCGACCAATACGCCATGTAATCGATGGCAGGTTGGAGAATAGTGTCTTCTGCATCGATTAGTAACGGTACGTTGGACTCTTGACATCTCTGACATACAGATTTGAGTCGCTCGTGAGCTTTCTCCAGCTCGAGTTCTTCCTCTACGGTCAATGGTTCAGGTTGGGTGGTTGTGTGGTAAAGAGGACTTAAACCGGAGAAAACCGGGAATGAATTGAGTTTCCATGGCAGTTTGAAATTAGGGTTCTTGTATTGCCACCGGAGCAAATCACTAACACGTTTTAAGACGTTCATTGGACAAATCGCTGTGATCTTGACCACCACTGAGCTTAACTGTATTCAGACAATAACCAATTAAAAAATAACTTGATTAGTAGTTAAACCGGGATTTTAGTAAACCGACAAGAGAATGAATATTCTCATGCGTGTAGTTGACAATTTTTGATTTGACGAGTATGTCCTCGTTGCGTGATTAACGTGTTAACCTTTTTAAGTCTGACGAGGAACCAACGTGGCTTTGATTGTTATTACATTCTACTTACTAAAACAAAAACTTAATACTAAGACAAGTCGTATAGAAAATAAATAAAAGACTAGTCTTTATTAAATTAAAAATAAAAATCAGACAACTAACAATTTGTGTTCTGTCTTTATATTATATTTTTTTTAGAAAATTTATGTAATTGAGTTTATTATATAAGATATTTATTCTTATAGAGGATTTTCATTGGTCGGTTACTCCACGTTTTTGTGGTGGTAGATGTATGAAAAGATGTCTAGTGGAATCATTTTTTTTTTTTTTGTAAATATCGAAAACCATATATTAAAAAAAAAAATTAAACTGGTGGAGGTAGTTTTGTATCAAATTATCTAACAAAAGCTAATGTAAACATAGTAATTTTGGTGTTAATTAACCTTATTTCTCACCATTTGTCTCCTAATTAATTCATAATATGTATTTAATGTATATGGTGGTTTCTTTGTAGATATGACCGTCACAAGTTTCTATCATATAATACTAAAATATTTGATATGTTTTATAATAATAGTTATACCGAAATAATTATAGTATTCCTAAGGAATGGTCAGAAAAGAAAAATGGATGGAAATAAATAGAGAAATGCATAGAAAAAAACTTAAAGATGAGCTCTTACGTGAGATGTAGGTAGGGTTTTAGCAGCTTCGACGGTTTCAATGAATTTAAGAATGTTTTCATCGCACGCGTTACCATCTTCGGCGTGTTCGACGCCGTACACCAACATACCTTTAAGTCCTGTCGACTCGTAAACGGTCCTAACACGTCTCGCGGCGGCTGTAGCGTTTTCACCAGCGCAGAAATGGTCGTAAAACGTTCCTTTCACGATACCTAAGACCAAATCTCGTGTAAAAGTTGTATCCATGAGCTTGGAACTCATAAGCCACGAGCCGATATCGACCATAGGGCCTATGGCCGTGGCATGAAGAACTGCGGTTGAACGGATGAGGTTTGAGATTGGGACAGAAGCAAAGAGTCGAGATTGGTCGGAAAGATCTAGGTCAACGTCTTGTTTTGGTTGGTCAAAAGAAATTATCTCCGGGATAACCGTGGTAGGAGGACCGACGGGGCTCACGGTGGAGAAACGGTGGATGAGGTTTGGTCGGAGGAAACGGTTTGCCATTTTCAAACTATAAACAGAGTTTTTGGCTTTCTTTTTTGTTTTGTGTTTTTTTTGTCTTCACAAGCGTTTTTGTGTGTTGAGGTTTGTGTGTGTGTATGTTATTGCTACGAGTATTTATAGAAATACAAAGGCTTTGTGTGTGTTTTACATATGTGGTAATAGATGTCAATATATGTTTCTATCTATATGTTTGATTTGTATAATATTATTACATAAGTTACTTTTTTCTTAAAATTGGGATATAATCCGGGAAATAATAATCAAGAATTAGGAGAGAATCTTGTCAAAAAGTGATAATTACCTAAAATTTTGGTTTGACTAGAGTTATTGTTTTTTCAAAACAAAATTGATGATGGATAAGTAATTTGAGATTTCTCATTTATTTTTGTCATCTAAATGAACCTATATATTTAAATGAAAATCTACAAAAAATGTATTATTTATTCAATTAGTATAGTTTTTACTTAATTTTATTTTACATATTTTTGTATCATAGTTATTGAAAAATAATTTTTAATTATTTAATAAGAAAATATCATTACTTATTTTAGTTCTAATTAATTATATAATATATTATAATAAATAAAAAAATTAAATGCAATAACTAAATCAGTTTCTTCAAGTTCAATTTAAGTGTCACATAAGAAATATAATTAGTAAAACAATTTTTTTCTTTGGTTAAGAAACTATAAACTTTTGATAACCAAACATGAAGTTAGATAGCTTATCTTCTTCAATTCACATTGCAATTTTGAACAGCAAAAATCACGTGGCTTTTTGCTGTTTACGTCAACATTACGTGTTTTTTTTTCTTATTTTTATTAATTGCAATTTTTTTTTTGGGTCACAATTAGTTGAAAATTTATGATATCATTTAATAGAAAGAATCTTTATAAACCATAATTCTTGATCGTTATAAGTTTAATAACCAAGAAACCGTTATATATACGAGGTTAATGCGATTAAATAAAGATTTGGATTGATACATCTAAAGAGTTACCAAACATATGAAGATAAGCACTAACCTAACAATGAAATAGAATCAAATATTAATTAAAACTCTAATTACTTGTGTGGTTAAGAGATGAATTTCGCCGTAATTTTCTGACAGAACATATTTGTTTTGTGTCTCGAAGGATATAATAATAATAATAACTTGTAATAAGAAGAGTCGAGTCAGCGACACCAAGGATGTGATCATATGAAATGTCATTGGATAACTCTTAATTATTTAATGGGATATTGATTATTAAAGATTTGTCTTCTATGAGTCGGTGGATGATGAATGGGATATGCAACATTACATTTGGACCTGACCTTTTGGAATCTTTGACTTTTTTTACTTAATGGAATCTTGAGACATCAATATCATTGCACGAATTTAGCAAGATTCTCTCTATATATGTAAATATTAGTAGTGTATTAAGGTTTACAATTAAGTACACAATTTTTTTATTTTGTTCAAAACAATGAAGCGTATAAATATGTTATAATTTGTATGGAAAAAAAAATATGTTATAGTTTCAAATTTTCTTAATTTTTTTATTAAATAATTCCAAACCAGATTTAAAATAAATGTGTTGATTACAACTTAGCAGTTACACAAAAAAAAACTCAAAACAGATAAACGATCAGAAACAAGATTTGAGATAGCTGTCGAAAACAAATATTTTAAACTAGTATCCTACTTTTCTTTTAGCGTAGTTTGATATTTTGACTAGTAGGTGCACAATTTATTCGACGTTTTTTCTTCCAAATATTACTGGAACCTGGAAATAATAAGATTTTTCATAATACATCAATTAAGAAATTTTGGATGAGGTTCTTTTCTATAATAAAAGTTTTGAAAAGTAAAGAGAGAGAATAATAAAAGTATATTTTGAAAATCTTTGACAAATTATTAAGATACCCGTTTTAGTAATTTACACATATCTCTATCTAATTGGTTTAATTTCTATTTATTTAAAATTTAGTTACATACTAAACCATATTAGAATATTAATTAAATTTTATTATAGTATATATACTGTCTTAGATAAGATACTCATACAAGTGATCTTGCTCCTTTGTTATAGACTTATAATTAATAAATTTGGATTCAATTATACTATGTATAAATTTTGTATATAGTACATGACTGGTGAAATTCTTGATCACCATTGTTTTAATAGGTTTGATTCTATCACCATTGCTTTAATAGGTTTGATTCTACAAAAAATAATATTATTTTTAAAAATGTTTATTCCTTTTTTGATAACTTCAACCTTTTTTCTTCTTCATTTCGTTTCTTCCTTGTAAAACTGAAATGCTTTATTGGTGTTTTACAACTAGATGTTACTAATACTGAAAAGTCAATAACATATGATCTATAATTTTTCTTAATACAATATTGTTTTCTTTTACCAAGAAAATTATAACAAGACTAATTAAACGATGCAAAATGAAAACTAATAAAATAGCAAGCGAGAAGGGATAATTCTAAATCAAATAAATTATCTTGTGTCACATTTATAAACATAAATCAAATATGTTACATATATTCTTGAGATATATAAAATAACTCTAATGAAATAAAAGTACTAGCTAGTTTGGAAAATGTGAATGATACTTTAAGTTATGTTTTGGGAATGATACTTTGTTAACCTATGTTATATTGTTAACAACAATTCCTGTCAACACCAACAAATTAGTCAAATATTTAAAAAATTTCTAAAACAACAAATTAAGATAGCTTCGCGTTTATGTTTAGCAACTAGTGAATTTTATAAATTTGCTTTCCTATTGACTATTGTCATTGCCATTTCAACCATAATAATTATTTTTCTATCATTGAATTCAAATTATAAAATTTTATATGTATGTTTGAGATCAAGGAATCTATATTAACATTTTTGAAGTACTTTTTGGAAAATAACCTTGTATTTTGTATTATTTGCATAATAAATCATTGCCATTTAAATAAATAACAAACTTTTAAGATAAAATTTGTAATTAAATTACACCGTAATCGCAAAATTAGAAACTAATATTTATTACATTTAACAAAATTTCCTAAAATATCTCCCTAATAAATTAAATATCTCTCCAATATCTTTATATGATCTTATTTGTTTTAAAATTTACATTATTACATAAAACATAAGTATAATAAAAATACAATTTTTTTCGCATATGTAGCAATTTGAATTTTTGAAAACAGACGTATATTACTGAATCTATAAAAGAAAAAACATATATGTATAATGTCCCACATCGGGTAGAAAATTTTAGACAATGGTTTAGAACACTTATAAATATGACTAATATGAAACTTAAAAATCCAAAATCTTGAATGGAAGATTACAACAAAAAAAAGTTTTATTAGATTTTAGGGAATCCAAAATTTTAAAATCTTGATTGGTTAAAAATGAGTCTTTGGAAAACAAAAACCAAAATCTCTCTCGAAATCTATAAAACATTCAAGGTTTATATTTTACATAAATATGATTTAACGGGTTTGAGTTTTACGTTTTTCTTACGGGTTAACAAAACAAAAAAAAAATAACAAATATAACTTAAACATAATTTTTTTAGTCCCGCAAGTTACAAAAAAATATCCCGCGAGTTAAGTAATAAAAATAATAATCAAAAATACAGTTACACAATCTTAAATACTAAAAAAGTAATAAAATAAACAAATATAACTTAAATAAATATATTTTTTAGTCAAAACAATTGTCCCGCGGTGTACCGCGGGTTAAAACCTAGTACTTTTAAAGGAGCATAGCTTTGAGATTATGGATCCATGACGTCAAAGCTACTGATTGCTAGGCTTATTAACTGATATTTTGGTGGACTTGCTGAATTCGCAATTGCAAGTAAGAAACTGACCTTTAAAAGACCCCAAGAAGTGGGATCAGCTGAAGCAACAGCTTTGACTATGTCAGATCTAACTATTCTGACTCATCATGCAGGGTTGAAACTAGATGGCACAAGCAAGCAAGCGAACATCCTGATCACAATATCATCTGGTGGGGTTGGCCACTATGCAATCCAGTTGGCAAACCTTGGGAAAGCTCATGTAACTGCCACATATAGAACACAAACCATAAAATTTGTCAAATCTCACGAGTCCGTCTGGTAAGAATACGATTATGTGATCCATTGCGCAAACAATATCTCATTTTCAACATTTAAACCAAATTTGTCTAAAAATAGAAAGTGGTAGATATCACCTATGGCCTAGTTTTGTCGTCTTTGACTGTCTATGATTGTAATTTGTAGCAAAATATAACATCAAGGTTTGTTTCATATTTTGAAACAATGTTGTGGAACTTGATTACCACAAACAATTTGTGTTGAAAGTCAAAAGAATTCGACTTAGTTCTAATATATATCACAATACTCAAGATTTATAAACTTTATATACATTGTAAGCCCATTTGGACATCCCCAACTGGAATATAAAATTATAAAATCTTGAGTACTATTATTTGTGTCCATATCTACTTCGTCGTACTATTAATTGGGCCAAGCCCATGTGTTCCATTCAAGCCCATGTACGATGATTAAAGGGATGTATGTAATTTGCCGATCATACTGTAAAATGAGGAAAACAAAAGTTCTTCCGATCTTACTGTAAATGAAAAAAATACGTATACGAGAGAACACCTGAAAAAACGTAAAACTCGAAATCATCGCCCGCTCAAAATTTTCGGTAGGGAGGGAAAAACCAAAAATCAAAAACTTTTCTTCTTTTGATAATCTCTCACTTGTTCCAAAGACGAAAAGCTTAAAACTTTGAGAGTCTTAGTGATAAACAAAACTCACACTCCCATAAACTAGTTTCGCCATATCAGATCAATTTTTTTTCTTCAGTTTGTGTTGAGCTTCTGGATATGGCGGTGGTGAGCAAGAATCAGTCCAAGGAACAAACACCAAATCCTGGTATTACAGAACCAAGGATCGAAGATTCCACCTCTGGAAAAACTTGTCACCAGGTCTGAATTTTTTCAATTTTATTCGAATTGGGATTTTGAAATTGATCCGATTGGGTTTATTCGTCGTTGATGGTGATGTTGGATTTGGGTTTATGAATTCGAGTTATTGCTTTCATCAAACTGTCTTCAATAGTGAGAATTTCAGGATTTTAAAAATTGAATTTTTTCGAAGTTAGGTGTTTTTTTAGGGTTGTGTTCATCTGGGTTTTGAAATTAAGGTGAAATTGAAAGATGGGTACTCGTCAAAATCTGTTTTTTCGTTGATTTTGATAATTTTAACCATATTGATCTGAATTGGTGTATTCATGGTTTCCTTTAATTAGAGATCTGTTATGGTATTGAATTAATGTTTATGATACCAGAGTTAATGTTTGAATCAATGGATGGTCTTGTGTTTGTAGTGTCGACAAAAGAGAACTGATCTTGTTGGATCTTGTGTGACCAAGAAGAAAGACAAGTCATGTCCGATTAAGTTGTGTACCAAGTGCATAGTGAACAGGTTTGATTTGATTTGATGTTTTTGAGAGTTGTGTTTATAGAGAGATGTATTAGCTCTGGTGATTAGGGTATTGATAATGGCTTGATGTTATAGGTATGGGGAGAATGCAGAAGAGGTTGCGTTGAAGAAGGATTGGATTTGTCCCAAATGCAGAGGCTATTGTAACTGTAGCTACTGCATGTAATTTAAAAATCATCCATTACATTGAATTTTGCAAGGTTTATGTTATTTTTGTAGCTTGGATGAATTTGTGAACTGTTTCGTTGTACTAGGAAGAAACGAGGACAAAAGCCTACCGGGATATTAGTACACACTGCTAAGAAGACTGGGTTCTCTTCTGTCTCTGAGCTTTTGAAAACTAGTGGTTCTGACAAATACTTTTATACAAAGAAGGAGAAACCGGTACGTGTGATGCTCTAGCATGGTCCTTGTATTGTGTATATTTAACTTTTGAGTCTTGTTTTATATCTATTTGTTGATATGGTGGTATCTGCAGGAAGGTGTTGTTGTAACTTCACCACTGAAACTTGAGCAGGAGAATTCTGTTGAACAAAAACAGGTTATTATTAAAAAATCGAGAAAAACTAAACGTGAAGAGCTTAAGGATTTAAACAACGGCTGCAGCGATGAGAATGTTGTGGTGAAAAAGAGTAGTCCAAAGAAGATCAAGATTTCTGAATCCGTTCATGAGACAGAAGTTACCAAGAAAAACAATGAGAATGCTGTTGTGAAAAAGAGCAGTCCAAAAAAGATCAAGATTTCTGAGTCTGTTCCTGTGACAGAAGTTACCAAGAAAATATTGGTAGAAGGAAAAAAGAAAAGTGAGAGAATGTGATTTTAAATGTTCCCTTGTGAGTGTTAGTACTACAGTTGAAAAGAGACTAACACATGAAAGTTTTGTGATGCAGAGACTACTGCTAAAGATATCAAGGAAAACAACGTAGCAGACAAAATCAAAAGAATCAAACCTGCTCTCAAAAAGAAAGAAGAGGATCAGGTTGAGGAGGTGAAACTACCTCAGGGCAATAGCTCAATTACTGTTTCTGGCATTGACTTGGCTCCTGAAGATGTTGGAAATGTATTTCAGTTTTTGGAGTTTTGCTCAGCTTTTGGGAAGGTATCCTCTATTCCTAAGCATAGTTTGATTTTTGATCTGTTCTTTAACATAGAAATTTTGAGTATGTAAAATGTTAACTAGCTCCTACCTTCTTCATATGACTTTTTTGATAGGCTCTTGATTTAAGGAAAGGGCAAGCTGAATGTGTGATTCGTGAAATGTTATCTGGGCGAAGTAGAAGGAGACAACAATACTCTACACTCACCCAGATGATAATCCAACTACTTACTGTGATATTAGAGGATAGAGGAGAAACGTAAGAATGATTTCCTTTAAAAGTTTTCTATTAGCTTCCCTTTCTGAGAATGAATATTTGATTGATTTCCATTTTTGGATAGCTCGGTTGGCCTGACGGCGACTGATGCTAGTTGGTTCACTGCAATTGGAGAATGTCTTTCAGAATCAGAAGTTCAGCTAGATGATTTCCCTCCTGAAATGTTTAAAAAAGGCATTTCTCAGTATGAGAAGTTGAATTCATCAAAAAGGCTTCAGCTTTTGAATTTCTTATGTGATGAGACGCTTGGCACAACGTAAGTATTAGTTATATTCATCTGTTGAATCAACTATTCTCTTTGATTTATGCTGCTCGAGGGCTTACATATTGTGATAAAATTTTCAGGGTTATGAGAAATTGCATTGATAGCCAAAATCTTGAATCTATTGAAAGGAAAAAGGAAGCTAAAGAAAAGATCAATGCAGCAAAAGATAAGGTAACTATAAAATTTACCAAGTCTACTGTCTTTACAATTTCACTTGAACAATACTTAATTCATTCTAAAACCTTTCTGTTGTAGGAGAAAGAACTAAAGCAGAAATTGCAAGATGAGTTGGCCCAAGCAGTAAAAGAGAAAAACGGGATTCCATTGTTGATAACAGAACATGATGCTATTGTCTCGCGAATAAATGCTGAAACCCAAGAAGTTTATTCTGAAATGCAAAACGCAATAAGCATGCTATCGAAAAGTACAAATCTAGACTCATTTGATTCTTTATGGTTCCTTGATCATGATTGGGCGATTCTGAAGTGGTGTATCGTGTTTGCAGAGAGTCAAGGAAGTGATGATGCTGTTAGAACCAACCCGGGCGAATTGGATGACAATGGTCGTATATTCTGGACATTGAAGTCTTACAGTGATGAGCAAAACATGTTGCTTCAAGGTGTGAAATATTTTACAAACTCTTTCTTTGTCTTCACAGTAGTAATATAGTAATTATAATCTCTTTCCTTTGTTTGTATGCAGATTTAGGAAGCTGGAATGAAGTATGTCCTCATGAAAAATGGTTCTCCTTCAGCTCTGAGCAAAAACCAGAGATCGAGAAATACATCTCTTTCATAAGGTGAATCATTTTATTTCTCTCTTAAGCTCAAGGAATTTATTAAGGGTACATTTTATGAAACTATTTAGAGGTTAAAACTGCTTGATTAAACTCAAATCACATCTATATTTATAAATCCTGCAACTAAAGGATCAGTATAAGTTATTCATCACTTGAAATTATACTTTGGAATTCCTGAGTGTTACAGTTAAACAATTACTTTGCATGGAACAGTATCTTGCTTTTCTTGAACTTTGATTGATGTTAATTTGTTCATGGGTTTGTATTTCCTGCTTCACATCTCATTTCTTCTTTCGAATATGTTTTGTGGAATGAATAATTGATGATTCACTGGAAAGTACATACTTTTGATATTTTCAGTGTTACAATTAATCAACTTCTTTGCATAGAACTAGTTCATGGGTACTAAACTTCGGTCTATGCTTAATTAGTTCATGGGGTTTAAATATTCGGCTGCATTTCAATGTTTCTTCCTATGTTTTGTAGGATGAAACGGCTTCGAGCACAAAGGAATGCAAATACTATTATTACTTAATGATTCTCTTTGGCTGTGAGGTGAGCACATAAGAACATGATTCTGCTAGGCGAAAAGCGGAAGAGGTAAAAGGCTGACTCAAAACTCTTAAACATGTGATTTTGAATCACATTGTGTATTGATTTATATGAACACCCCATAAAGCTCTGTTTGTATGATATGTTCATTACTTCATTCGGATTCCCTAAATTATTAAACAATCTTGATAGTTATGATAAGCTTTTAACCCTCCAGTAACCACCGTCTTACCTCAGAGTCATACCATCTGAACTCAGTGCCAATATAACATCAGTTGAAAAGATAGACAGCAATAGACAAAGACTTATTCATCATGGTTGCATAAACGTAAACACCAAACATTTCATCAAACAGTAGCAACAAGAACCTTTTGTAAAGCACATGTTCCAGGGACCGTGAGAACATGATCAAACCACTCGACTTTTCCCCAAATTCCACGATTTTTGCGCCTTTCGAGCGTAATCACTGCACACCAGATCTTCTTCTTATCGCCACCCCAACTATAAGTCAAATGCTCTTCCTCCCACTCCCACAAAACCGCCATCTTTCCACCATAATTAGCCAATCTAACATGATGAGTAGGAGTCCCAGGTAGTACCAAACCCTCCATTCTTCTCCACCGGCTTACTTCAGTGTCATACCATTTGAACTCAATGCCATAAAATAATTTGTCAACAGAGTACAAAACGTTCTCTATCTCACAATAAGCATTTGAATCCGTATAATCACACATAATCACTTGGTGCCATTTACCTTCTTTGGGGTTGTAAGCAACCACCAGGTCATCCACTCCGTTTGTGTTCCCCACGTGCCACTTTTCGTCAATACATAGGATTTTGAAGTTGTATCTTTTTCCGTTGTAAGGGCTTGGCACATGATCCCAAACTTGTGTTTTTGTGTCGTACACCTCGAAAGTGTCCTTTAAGGATTTAGAATCTTCATCTTCGCAGCTTCCAACCACATAAATCTTTCCATCAAGGACGCCAGCAGAAGCTGTAAACATCTCCACTGGAGAGCTTGGAGCCTCGCTCCACGTATGAGACATGCAATCAAATTTAGAGAGGCTACTAGAGGAAGTTGGGTTGGATCCGCCAATGTTGTAGATATTAGAACCAACTGCCACGAGACTCGAAGATTGCAAAGGAGGAGGATGAGCAATTGAGACTTTAGCCAAAACATATCCACTTGGCTTTGGCTTCTTCTTCATATTACTTGTGTCAGACGTTAGGGCTTGATCAGGTTTCCGACAGAGAGTAAACCAGCTAGGGTTCTCACGAGATTGTAATCCACTTGGCTTCTTCTTCTTATTACTTGTGTCGCACGTTAGGGCTTGATCAGGTTTCCGACAGAGAGTAAACCAGCTAGGGTTCTCACGAGATTGTAACCTTAAGCACACATAAGGACAACTCTCGGTGCGGTCCAAGAGTGACCGGGTCTTGTAAAGGTCCGGTGAAGCTAGGAGTGATCGAAAGCTCTTGGAGACAAGTGAGAGAGTCGGATAGTACAATATTGAGACGCGTGCGACACAATTCATTAGCAAGTCATCGGGAAGTGACAGAATTGAGTTTGATTCCGGCGCCGGGGACGTCATTGACGGAATCGAAGATACTAAATCACCGTTGATGGTTTCTTTTCGAAAGGAGGAGAAAACAATTTTAGGGTTTGGAGTTTAAATATACAGAGGGATTAAAAACAGACTCATCATACCATTTGGTTAATGTGAGAACCGGTTAAATTTTGATAATGTTTGGATTAATCATTGGTTAAAAAATTGCTTGAATCTTAATTATTTTGAATCGCATTATATTTGTTTATACTCTGTTTATAACTTTATAAACATTATCAAGAATAAATAATGCTTAACTCAAACATGATCAAAACTTTAACCGGTTCTCACCTTAACCGAAGACATAGTGCCGGTTTAATCCCGTTGTATATTTATAGTCCAAACCCTAAATTTGTTCTCCGTTGCATCGCGGCGATTTCTTTTAGATTCCGTCAATGTCGACGTCCTCGGAAAAGCTATCGTCCCAGTGATTTGCTATTAAACTGTGTCGCCCGTGTCTCAAGATTATATTATCCGACTCTCTCCCTTGTCTCCAAGAGCTTTAGATCACTCCTAGCTTCGCCGCAACTTTACAAAGCCCGGTCACTCTTGGACCGCACCGAGAGTTGTCTATATGTATGCTTAGAGTTGGATTCATTTGAGAACCCTAGCTGGTTTGCTCTCTGTCGGAAACCTGATAAACCCCTAACGTATGACACAAGTAATAAGGAGAAGAAGTCAAGTGTATATGTTTTGGCTAAAGTCCCAGGTCCTCATTCTCCTCCTATGGATTGTGGTGGATCCAGATCATCTACCTGCGAGATACCAATGAACCTAAATGGGATTGTTATTGTGAGATAGAGAACGTTGAGTACATATTACAAAACACATGTTATAACCATGCGTTAGGAGGGTATGGCGTTGAGTTCATATGGCATGGTACTAAGGTAATTAGACTTAGAGTGTGGATAGAATTGGAGGGTTTGGTAGGACTACCTAGGTTCTCTCTTTATGATTGTGTTGGATTGGCTAATTATGGTGGAAGGATATACATTTTATGCTTGGTGACAATAAGAAGATGATCACCTCAAATCAGGATATAAAGAGAAATACAAAAACGTGGAAACAAGCTATTCACACACTAACCGAGAATATAAATAGAATGCCATGGAGATGGATCTGAACTCTTTGAAGATTGCCAGCAAGAATACAAAGATTAAAAAAAGTCAAATCAAACAAGTGAGAGCAACGCCAAGATAGGTGAAGGAGACAAGATGAAGTAGTAGTCGAGCCATAAAGAGAAGATCCTATGATCACTTTGTACAAAAAACATATTTTCTCTATTTCATAAAAGTGTCATTTTGACATAATTCACACAAATTAATATACATACATGCTTATATTTAATAAGTGTTTAACAATTTAATTAGTTTGAAATTAATGGTAAAATTAGGAAATTCAGTATTAAAAATGCATGTCAAATGACACTCTTTGTGAAACAAAAATAAAAATCTAGAATTGACATTCTTTGTGAAACTTCAGGAGTATTAGTGATCTTGTCAACATGATTTATCAAAGAAATCAAATTATGCAATTCCAATAAAATGCAATTGTTTTACCTCAAACTATGATCTCGAGGAAATCCGTAATCATGATCTCCTTTTGCATCTCCGTAAGAGTCTTGTGCTTCCCAAAACGGAACACCTTTGCAGTCTATCCCATATCCAGTTATAAGAAAGAAATGACATTTGTTCTCTCTTTCATTGATTGGTAAGGAACTCTACCAACAACATTTTCGTAATCATCTGTGATAATTAATCTTGCAGTAATATGAGACTTTTTCAGAAATTCGTGCAGTTTTTTTTCAAAAAATTATCATCTTATTTTTCAGATATTTCTTGTAGTGTTGTCAGCATGATTTCTAACTGATATTACACCGCTTCCTGCAGCGAAATATCAAAGGATTCTCATGTTCTAAGACCATGCCAATCTTTTTTTAAGTAGTTTACCCACATCATCAACATCTTTAAGAGAAAAAATAGAATCAAAATTCTCTCTAGACATAATATCTAAAACCTCTTGGATAGATAGATGAAAATCCTTTATGTATATGTTTCTAAGGAACGTAAGTTCAGCTTGGATTTTAGTTTTAAGAAAAAGGTTATGCTAGGATCACTTCATTGTACGTACAATGCAACAAATGATTGGGCTGAAGCCCATGAGTTGTTTGAGACGAGTTGATGTGAGCTTTCTAGTGGGAGGAGTCTAAAAGTGGACAATTGGTTTGCTTCGACCTCATAGTCCATTCCTTGCTCCGTGAGATTCACCCCTTTTGTGCTTAACCCATCAATCTGAATTGATGCATCACATGAAGTGATATATACACATTAACTAGCACTAGGGATTTGAAAATAGGTTAAAAACCCCAACCTCGTCCGAACCAGCCAATATAGATCATGGAACTTCAATTCTTAACTTATGTTGCCATTTGTGTCAAACCTCAATTTATGTGAAACTTACAATAGGATATAAAAAATTTATAAATAATAACCCATATTAAACTAACGAGTACAGCTGAAATTTAAATTCAATAGACGTCTCTATATATCAAAATGTATATATATATAAAATTGTGAGAAAAGGTCTCTTCTAGTTTTTATTTATTTATTATTCTGTTAAACTTTAGTTTTTGTAATAGTGTAGACAAATACAAGGATGTAACATAAAGAGACAAGACATATCAAGGTTACCCAAGTCATTCCATATGCTGGTGGGTATCCATATTTGTTCATGTGATGCTATCAAAAACCCATAAAATTTGCCCTCGCACAAATAAAAAAGTTTTCTATGATTTCGATTCTTTGACTCTTTCATTTTCATGTGATACCTACTTTTATTTTTGTCTCACATTAACAGAAGATAAACGATATGTCGACTCATCTATGTCCATGGCTCCATGCATATAAAAACGTCACATACTCTTTGTATGTTTGCCATTGCTACTACTGTTTGATGAATTTGTCACAATTAGTACGTAATATGAATATATGATGACTGACCTCTTCTCTTGTTTCACTTTCTTAGTCTTTTGATGTCTACAAACTGAAAATACAATATCATAATAAGAATTATGGTCGCCATGTTGTAATCCAATCCGTCAAACTTAATTTCCACATTGTTAGAGATATCTTTTCTTACAATCTTACTTCATAAGAACATGATTCTAATCATAAAGTGGAGATGTAAAAGGCTGAGTCAAAACCCTTTGACATGTGAATTAAAAAGGCTGGCTCATAATCTCTGTTTGTAAAGTTCGAATTCTCTAAAATATGAAACAATCTTGATAGTTTGTGACTTCTCAATTTTGTATTGTAAAAAAGTAGGTATATGCTTATCAATCAATAGATGATATCAAATAAATTAGAAGTAAAACAACAGGTCCAAGCCTTGTGACGAATTCATCAAACAGTAGGAGCAAGAACCTTGATGAATTTGTATTTCCAAGGGACTGTAAGCACATGATCAAACCATTCAACTTCCCCCCAAATTTCGCAATTTTCGCGTATTTCAAGCGCAATCACGGCACACCAAATCATCTTCTTTCGGCCAGGCATAAACTCGTCCCACAAAACCGCCATCTTTCCACCGTAATCAGCCAATCTAGCACAAGCATCGTGAAGATGGAACTTAAGTAATCCTAATACACCTTTCAATTGCCTCCACACTCTAACCTCATTGTCATACCATTTGAACTCTCCTTTTGAAACAGAGTATAAAACATTACCAATTTTGCAAGAAGAATCTCTTAAAAAATGATAATGTTCTTTGTTTGGTTTAACCTCGTCCCATCTACTTTCCCTGGAACTGTAAGTATCCACTACACCTGTTTTACTCACCCGGTGCAACTCATCGCCAAAACATATGATTTTTTTGTAAGTACAGTGTGTAGTCTCGGTACCAAGGATTGGCAGGGGATCCCAAGTTAGTGTTTTTGTGTCAAACACATAAAACTTATTGGGAAAGCCATCTTTGCAGATTCCTAATACAAATATCTTTCTACCAATAACGCTTACAGAAACTGTAAATAGCTCCTCTGGCAAGCTTGGCCCCTCGCGCCATGTATTAGACTGACAATCCAAAATCGATACCCTAGAGGAAGGCGATACAGATCCGCCGACGATATAGATATTAGAACCAACCGCCACGAGATTCGAATGATCCATAGGAGGAGAATGAGGAATTGGAACCGTAGCCAAAGAATACCCACTTGACTTCTTATTATCATTACTTGTGTCACACGTTAGGGTTTGATTAGGTTTCCGGTACAGAGTAAACCACTTAGGGTCTTCATCAAGAGGATGGAGCTGTAAACACACGTAAAGACAACTCTCCGTGCAGCTGGAGAGTGACCGTTCCTTGTAAATCTCTGGTGAAGCTACGAAAGATCGAATGCTCTTGGAGACGAAGGAGAGAGTCGTCGGATAATACAATCTTGACACCCGCGCCACGCAGCTCAATATCAAATCATCTGAAAGTGTCGGATTTGAGTTTGATTGCCGTGTCTTGTACGCCTTCTTCTTTCCCTGAGACGACGACATTGACAGAAGCTATCTATCTAAGGAATAAGATTTACTTCTCCAACTTACATATATATACGCGGCGTTACAACCGCCTCACGCCTTTTTTTGGTTAAGATGTAAACCGAACCAAAATCCCAATTTGATTTTGATTGTTGACCGGTTTTTGTAAACCGAATTTAACCAATACTTTCACCTCAGCCTCACATTATTACTCTCACTCACAAAGATACAGAGAGGGAGAGAAGAGAAGAAGAGAGGAAGAGAAGATGGGATCGATATCGGCAGCTCCGGGAACCACCGTGTTATTCTCCAGTTTCCGTCGCCGGATTCTTAGCGACCGTCGCCATGAGAATCTATCTGTGTTTTCGTCTTCACAACCGTCTCTGATGCCACGGCAGAGATGGCTCTATGTACCGGAGACGAGGTTGAGAAGAGAGGTTTTAAAGCTCGATTTTACTGCGAGAGCTGCGGATTCCACGAGCTCGTCTCCTTCTGTAGCTTCTGGTGATAGAACCTTAATACCTGATGAGGAGTTTACTCTAGCCAAGGTTTATATATTGGTTTCGATTTTTTCAATTAAAGAGTTTCTTCGAATTCAATTATGATTAAGTGTTCCTGCAACGATCATTGCCTTGTACAAATTGTGTTAGGTCGATTCGATTATTTGTGGTTTGAAATTGAGAATTGGGAAGGATTTGATGTATGCAATTCATAGATTCTGATGAAAGTTCAATGAAACTTGTCTCAATTGCTATCATTGTTGTTTTGTTACTGTTAAAACCTCAGGAGAATGATATAATATATGGTTTCTTGTTACTAGTTTGGTTTAACATTACTAAAAGTGGTATAATATGTGTGTTTGGAACAATTTTTCACACTGAAAAGTTTTCAATCTGTTTTGGATTGCAGATTTCATTTGGTGTTATTGGGCTAGGTCTCGGGGTTTCGCTACTGTCGTGAGTTTTTTCATACCTTTCTTTGTTGCTATAGAGGTTTATATACGAGGTTTTTTTTCATAATGGATGTGTTAAAATCCTACAGGTATGGTTTTGGAGCCTATTTCAATATCCTTCCTGGATCTGAGTGGTCTGCTATAATGCTAACATATGGATTTCCCCTTGCTATTATTGGAATGGCTCTCAAGGTATTCATTCCATCTCTTTACGTTCTTCAGTTGTGTTTAGCACTCTAATGTCCCTGAGAAAGTGGAATATTTTAGATAGCTGTAACTTTGTCGAGGAATTTGACTTGTGTATTTGAGTTGTTCATTTCTTTCTTTGGCTTTTCGGAATGCCTAATTGTTTTAGTCCCTGAGTATTGGTTTTGCTTCTTTTGCAGTATGCAGAACTCAAACCAGTTCCTTGCTTGAGCTACTCGGATGCGGTGAAGCTTAGAGAAAGCTGTTCTACTCCTATTTTAACGCAGGTACTTAGTAGTTCTGGTTAGCCTCGGTACTTACCGGAGTAACTTCACTCTGATTATAGATAATTTTTCATCCCTTCCCTATTACATAAATTTTATAAGCCATATATATGTTTTTGATTAGAGTAAGGGATGTTAATAGTTTTTGGCATTAGTATTTGGAAATTCAATCTAAATGCTAGCTTGGTTTCAATGTAATATGTTCACTTGCTTACAAAAAAGTTCAGTTTAGTTTTTCCATTTGCCTGTATCACATGAGATTGTAGTCTTTTTCAGTGAAAATAGGATTTAAAACTTACTTCTCATATTTTTAACTATGTCGGGCTACTTCTTTCCTTAATTAGGTTAGAAATGATGTCACGAGATACCGTTATGGAGATGAACAACATTTGGAAGAAGCACTGAAACGGATCTTTCAATATGGACTGGTAAGCTATTTTTTATGGAAACAAAATGAAGCACAACATGCTTTTATACTTCTGCTTTAACACCCCTTTCTCTCGACTGTCTGGTATAAGGGCGGAGGAATCCCAAGGCGTAGTGCACCTATCTTGCAATTGATAAGGGAAGAGGTAAAAAAATTTTATCTTGTGCGTGACTTTACATCATATTATGAGACAGACCAGATCATTTTAGATAACTCGTGTCCGTAGGTCCTGACTGATGGTCGTTACTGCCTGGTCCTTGTATTTGAGGCCAAAGCTCTGACGTTGGCAGATTTTGAAAAAAGACAGGTAAGAGTTTAGATTCAAAAACTAACAAACCTAATCTGCTTAGCGTGTAAGAAATTAAAATAGCTTTGGTTTCATCAAATGTAGTATCTGTGAAGTAGAAAAAAAAAACATTAAGCTGAAACTGAGCATAAAACTATTGTTTTAATAGGCGAAATTCACTTCCTTCTTTGGACCAAACATCACTGCAGAAGTTGGTAAGTAGTTTAGCCATTCATGTTTTTTGAAATGTTTGTTCTCGGTTCTTAAATTGTCTTACGTTGTTATGCTTTTGAAGGTAAAGGAGAAAGTGAGAATCTCTATGAAGTAAGACTGATTTCCAACGAATCCACCAACTCTGTATCTTCTACCTCATGAAAATATAAGACAATCACGTATAGGTCGTGACGTTTTGGTCAATGTTATTTTGGTCTTGTATATCAAATTATATATAATCATCCTATGTATAAAAAGTTCATACTTACAGCAATTACCCTTACCTAACGTAACGTCTGCGAGAATTGTTAAAAATTTCGTCGTTACGAACTCGGTTACATGGTCTATGCCTGATCAGATTATATAGCCCTGGGAATAGTACCCGACCCGAAAATACCGAACAGACCCGAACCGAGATTTTTGGTTTCGGTTAACCAGAGATAACCGACCAGAAGGATTAATAAATTCCAGTCGGTTACCGGTTCGGATCGGTTCGGTTCGACCTGATTTACCTGAATTACCAGTATTACCCAAAGTTAACCGAAATAACCGACCCGATATAACCGAAATTAACCAAAATTACCCCCACTTAATCGAGATTTTTGATCCGATTTTACTAATCTAACCGAAAATCTTAAACATTCGGTTCATTTCGGTAAGCAAAAAAATAACCAAAAACCCTGATACCCGAACCGATCCGACCCGTTATGTAATTCGGTTATTTTCGGAAACGTTTTTCAAATTCCGAACTATATCTGAGATTCTGAGTACCCGAATGATCCGACCCGACCCGACCCGAATTCGCAGGCCTGAGATTATATATCTGCCATTCTCCGCGTTCCCACATCATATGATTTTCATGAAGTTAAATGGGCTTTAAAGTATGTCAGAGTTATGGGCCTTGGGCTTTCAGCTTTACTTGAATCATTCTATTAGAGTCCATAATTAATTAATTACTTTCTTCTTTCTCCGATTTTGCTTTTTGCTTGCTTGCCCAGAAAGTCGCCGAGAAAGTTAGAAGTAGAACGGCGGAGGAAAAGAGCAAGAGGAAAGAAAGAAAAAAATGGAATCGCAGAAGAAGATAGCGCATGAGATCGGAGGTATGAAGAACGATGCTCTACGCTTTGGTCTTCACGGCGTTAAGAGCGATATCATTGGATCTCATCCTCTCGAATCAGCTTACGAATCTGTAAGTAATTAACATTGATGAAAGTGAAAAAAATTAGGCTAAACAACGGGAATTAGTGTGTTTGATTAGCTTCGCTTCCTCTATATTCAGATTTCGTTGATTCAAGAATTTTGAGAGAATTGGGATTTTACTGGGTTTCTGAACTTAGGGTTTGTTTTGGTTTCAGGGAAAGCAATCACAAGAAGAAATGAAGAGGAAAGTGATTACACATACATATGGAGCTGCTCTTCCTTTGAAGATGGATTTTGATAGGCAAATCCTTTCTAGGTATGGATTTTGATAGGCAAATCCTTTCTAGGTATGGATTTGGATTTATCATTTTAAGATGAAATCCTCTGAATTACTCTGATTATTAGATATGAGTTATGTATTGCGAATCTTCTTTAGGTTCTTCTATAGATTACTCTTAAGATATTGATATATGCTTTCTTAGTGCTATCAATCTATATTGGATTATATCAATTGCTGTTCTGAAGTTTTGAAATATTGTAAGAAAAATATGTGTAGACGAATCATTACAATGGTTATTATATCGGAACTCGGACTCATAAACCGCAGAGTGGGATACTCTTTTAGATTTGAAGATTATATTCACATAGAGCAGCCTCAGCTTACTTTGGTTAAGTGAATATTTATTGTATATCTTTTTCTTTGGAGTATTCAGATTTCAGAGACCTCCTGGAGCAATTCCTTCTTCAATGCTTGGCCTTGAAGTCTACACGGGAGCTATAGATGCTTTTGGTTTTGAGGATTACTTGAATGGTAATTGTTCTATCATGGCTCTATTCCATTTTCTTGTGCCTTTCAGCTTCATTTACTGGTTAGATTGTTCTACACCTACACACCAGTAGAGAAGAAGTGTTCAACTTGTTTATTTTCTTAGTGTTCATCGTTGTTTCTCCGGTTGTTCTGATAATAGTATCTTCTTAATCCGCAGATCCTCGTGAATCCGAGACGCTCAAACCTGTAGATTTTCACCACGGGATGGAAGTTCGGCTCGGTCTATCCAAAGGCCCAGCTTCCCCAAGCTTCATGTAGAGAGGGAGAGTCAAAACAATGTTTTAGTCAGTCACACCATCAAAGTACTTTCATCTTCAGGGTCGCATACATATGCTTCAAAATCCTCAATCTTAGTAAGATCATGTTATGAATTCCCAATTATCTTAAAAGCCTAAGAAAATGTGGTTCAGTTTCATTTTTTTTTCATTTAAGCTATGGTTTGTTTATGTTGCTGACACCAAACTTTGGATTCTTAGATTTTGTTCCATTAAATAAATTGCTAATTGCTAATGGATTAATACTAAAACAAACAAAAACAAAAGTAAGACTTCAGTGACTGAGACTGACAACATCGGATTAATCTGAAAATAAATAAATATTATCACGTAATTTAATGAAGAAATAAAATATAATTAAAAAACCCTATTCTCCGTTTTATTCGTCTGGAGAAAATAAAATAAAAATTCGATCCCCAAATCCAAATTTAATAATTCCGAATTCTTCACCGAGAAATTTCATAGTTTCTTCTCCGACGCGATGGAGTCTCGACGGAACCCTCGCGCCGTAGTCGACCCAAAGGTCCGGCAAGTTGGTTTCTTCACATCATCTCAACCCGATTCTTCTTCTTCTCAACTTCAACAACCCGACCCGATCTCCGCATCCGCTTCTTCTCCTCCAGTTTCCACCATTTCTCCTTCCGGCAACTCACTCTCCCCAGTCATGATTCCTCCTCCTCGTCACAATTCCTCTGATGCCTTCCCTCTTCGAAACGCCGTCGTTGCGTCAGCCGTTTCTCCGTCTTCGTTTTCTTACTCCAGCCGCCGCGATTTCCCTGACGGATCAACGACGGCGTCTCCTGGACGCCATTCTAGGGGTAGTTTCGTAAAATCTTCTGTTCCTGTTGCTTCTTCGCTTCCTGGTATTGGGATGGATTCTATGGCCGCGGCTAAATCTAGTAGTGTTCCTGCTAGTGGCTTGACCACTGTCTCCGTCGTTACCATGCCTCCTGGACTTTCTGGTACTGTCACTATAATCTTCGAATCGTAATTTTGATTAGATTTTGCTTTGTTACGAGTGACTGAGTTTGAAAATTCTTGATTGATTTGCGAATTGGTTCTTTAGGATAATGAAGGCTAATGGAATCACAATGTTGTTCTTGTAATTAATTGCAGAGAAGGCTAGTGGAATGGAGGTGGAGAGTGACCATAAGAAGAATTCTAAGCCATTGAAAGAGAAAACCACAAAAGCTGAGAGGCGAGCTATTCAAGAAGCTCAAAGAGCTGCTAAAGCAGCTGCAAAAGGTGCATTTTTTTTTAATTAATACCAATGTGTGATTTTATCGCCAAGAATGTTTCATCAGCTTAGTTCAGGGATGTTTTTAGCATTGCTTTTAGTCCTTCATTGAATGGAATAGCTGGGTGCTCTGTTGTGCATTTTGCAATATCTTGATCAGTTTGTGTAATACTGTGCTATATTAGTTGATGGTGGGAAGGGACCAGCAGTGACCTCAGCCTCGGTGGCTTCAACCAGTGCTAAAGCTGCTAGACCAGCAAAGCCTACTTCTCAGAAGAATGATGTTGCTGTAGCTGCTGGAGCAGCTGAGAAGAAGGGTGGTCCATCTGAGAAAGATAGAAAGAAAGATGCTCCTCATCCCCGCATGCAGTATGATGATGAGAGTAGAGTCGTGAAGGCCAAAAGACGTGCTGTTGTAAAACAGACCGAGGCTAAAAACAGGGTTGAGTTATTTAGGCATTTGCCTCAGTATGAGCATGGCACTCAACTTCCTGATCTCGAGACCAAGTTCTTCCAGCTTGACCCTATGCATCCTGCTGTGTACAAGGTATTTCATTTCTCTTGAATTCATTTGGTGGGTGCTTGTAATATACTATTACTTCTCTTTGTTAAAAACAAGGAACCGTTTGTTCGAATTAGTGGTTGCTATTACTTCTTTAAGATAAATGTTACTTGTGTTCTGAATGAGTATTAGTTATTGTGGTTATCAGGTTGGTCTTCAATATCTTTCTGGGGATATCTCTGGTGGTAATGCCAGGTGTATTGCGATGCTCCACGCATTCCAAGAGGTTGTCAAAGATTATTCGACACCGCCTGAGAAGAATCTTAACAGGGACATGACTGCTAAAATAAGTAGCTACGTCTCTTTCCTCATAGAATGCCGTCCGCTTTCGATCAGCATGGGAAATGCAATCCGATTTGTGAAAAACAGGATTGCAAAGCTGCCTATAACACTTTCTGAATCTGAAGCAAAAGCTGCTCTTCAGTCAGATATTGAACGGTTCATTAACGATAAGATCATAGGGGCAGATACGGTGATAGTCAAACACGCTGTTTCGAAAATAAGAGATGGTGATGTCCTTCTGACCTACGGATCTCCCACTGCTGTTGAGATGGTATTATTACATGCACATGAACTCAGGAAAAAGTTTCGGGTCTTGGTGGTGGATTCTCGCCCAAAGCTTGAAGGGCAGCTACTGCTTCGTAGATTGATCAAACGAGGCATTAACTGTACATACACTCATATAAATGCCATTTCATATATCATGCATGAAGTCACCAAAGTGTTTCTGGGCGCCTCATCAGTTTTATCTAACGGAACTGTTTACTCAAGGGTTGGGACTGCTTGTGTTGCAATGGTTGCAAGTGCATTTCGTGTTCCTGTGCTTGTATGTTGCGAAGCATACAAGTTCCATGAGAGGGTGCAATTGGATTCAATATGCTCCAATGAGCTTGGTATGCATTATCTTCTCTCTATAACATATCTCACACCGCCTCTGCTTTGTTTTACCTTACATTGAATTTCTTGCTTTTTCACCTTTAGGTGATCCAAATGCTATTTCAAAAGTTCATGGAAGAGAAGACATAAACTACTTAGATGGCTTGACCAACAACGCAAACCTGCAGTTTTTGAACTTGATGTAAGCTTGTGTGATCGGAGAAGTGAAACTATGTTCTTGCTTATACTATTCTTCTCTGTCACTAAACCCGTTTGTGATTTTCTTAATGACAGGTATGATGCTACACCTTCAGATTACATTTCCATGATAATCACAGATTATGGCATGGTAAGATTGATAGATAATTCATGCGACATAGTTTCTCCATTCATTCAAAATCTCAAATCATCGAACACTGACCATGTTTTCTTTCTCAGGTACCACCCACAAGTGTGCCTGTCATCGTGAGAGAATATCAGAAAGAACATTTGCTTGTCTAAGCAAAGCTCATTTTTTTGCAAAAGCTCTTCTTCTTCAACCCCTTCCTCTAGCTCAGGCTCTTCTAGTCACAACCCGCATAGAATAACTACCGGCACTGCCTCCCTCATCCGCTTCTTTTCCTGAGTACCGGGTTCATTTTTTTTGCCTTTGACATGTTTTTAGAAACTTTTGACTCTGTGAAGAGTGCGATTCATCATCCGCCTCTCCGGAAAGATTTTATCGATATCGGTGATGTTTTTCTTTTGTATGTGATGTATGAGTGAGGCTTCTCTTATTCTCCCTTCTCATGGAGATTGATACAAATCTTTCTCAGAGTTTATGCCAATTGTTTTTTTTTGGTTTTGTTCTCATGTTTTGCTTGTAAATAGGGATATGCACTGCCGTAAAATCACTCAGAAAAAACTCAGTTACACAAATCGTCTCTAAAAGGAACATATGTTCTGATAGTCCAAATGTTAAAAGAGATCTTTTTGAGGCTTCACTCTATTGTGTGAGAACTTGATCTTTGCCATTGACCGGAGTAACCACAGCGAGGATCACAAAACCGCCAAGAACAAGAACGAGAACGCCCATTGTGTTGACTATCATTGCCTCTGTGGAATACCGAGTTATCACCTGATTCACTTGCAGGAACGTCAACTTCTCAAGAATCCCTGTGGTTACAGTCACCAAGGCCAATGCATATATGTAAATCCCTAAGAACACATGCCATGGCATCAAGCTGACTCGGCTATTTCTTGAACCGCCCGGGTACCAATAAGTCACAAACCCTGCTGCCCACTGTTTGTAATCATAGCTTTAAGTCCTTGGTTAAACTATTCGATTAATGAAGATTGTTGTTAATAAGAGAAGAGATATTGTACCTGGAAGGCAAAAAGAAAGAGGCAAGCAAGGCCGAGCCATGAATGGAGACTGTAGAAATTTTCGATCCCTTTGTCAATATGGAACTTAAGAGCCGCCCATACTCCGATTAGGCTTAGAATAAATGCTGAGAATTGCAGTGTAAGATGAACCAATTTCTTCAAGTTCTTTGTACCTTGAACTGACTTGTACGCTAACATTGCTGCATAATTTCAATGTACCCCAAAATATTAGAAACCAAAAAAAAAAAACTGAAAAGACCATAACATTTCCATGGTCTCTCTGAAGAACTAAAAATACAGTAATTAAACAAGAAAGCTAATACTATGAATCCTAAACCGACATATGTATTCAAATGTTAGAAATGGAAACTCGAAGAACATAACGTTCCAGTGAAGAATACGTTCATCGAACATGAAAACCGATACAATGAATACGAAACCTCTTGACATTAGAATGAGTCCCCAGTCACTGCAATGAATGAAACATACTACAAATTTCAAATCTAAACAATAAAGTCAAGACCCTAAACTCCTATAAACTCTTACAAAACATCCTCAAGAAAGAAACACAAATCAATGTCAACGTGATAATAACTAACAAGCATATCTAAGGCAATAAAAAACAATGTGAAGGAGACTGTTTGCTCACCTTCACCATTGAAGAGTACGAGTCCAATCACCATCATCACTGGATGAACCTACAGCACAAACAAAGATATCTAACATCATCAGATACATCTTTGGATAGACAACGTTACACACAAAAACAAAGTATAACACAAATTTCAATATCTCCAAAAAAAAATGTGAATTTCAGACACTGAGACACAACAAATGAACTTTTCATCCAATCTAAACTTAAATACAAGAAATCGAAAGAGAGGGATATATACATTAAAGATGTGATCTTTGTTATCGGAAGAAAGAGCTAAGCCTCCTCTGTAATGAACAGTCCATGTCAGAACCATAGCCGCGATGATGAAACCCAAAACCCTCACTACCAGAAAGATCGGGAACCCACCAAGCACCGGCACCGCCATACTTTTCCGGCGATCAAAGGAAGAGACTTTCGGGGATTTATGGATGAAAATACCCAATTTTTAGATCGGCGATGCGGAGAAAATACAATTACTCGACTTTGAGTTTGAGGTCAACTAACCAAACCATACTGATTTGCCATAAACATTATAATTGCTTTTATTTTTGGTTTAATTAGATACTTTCCTTTTTTTTTTAAATCAATAATTATAAAATATTTTGCTATTTTCCTTTCACACTACTGTATGATATTTTATTATAAGATTTTTGCAGAAATTAAATTATTTTAAAACTAAATAGAAAAATATATTTTCATGTTGTAACTGCATATCTATTGATCACATTTATCAAATATAAATCATTTCATAACTACATAAGAAATTACGCTTTGTACTATAGTTTGCAATCAATGATTGTTCAAATCCATACAAATACAAGTGACGTTTTTGCAGTCCTTAATTTTGTTTTGGTTGATTCTGAATTTTGAATTTTGAATTTTTTTCATTCCAAAATTTTTTCCTAAGTACATAACCTAAGGAATATTACATGGCATATTCCTTTCTTCACACTTATTATACATACTTTACTTCACACCATTACTCACATCATTACTTTTACTTCACACATCAATACTTTACTTGATACTTCACTTCATGTCTTTATTTATTTCACATCAATACTTTGCTTGATTCTCTGCTCCATTTATATGTGCGCTTCTAAGTTGAATAAGTGAAATTCTCAAATTCACTAATTTGCAATTTATTGTTTTGATTATTTTCTTTCATCTTTCAGTAAACTATTTTATCACGTTAAATATCTACAAAACAAAATAGGATGTCTTTGAGATATATACAACATCAAAGTTCCACAGCAGAGCAAAATAAATATATTTATTAGATTTACTTTCAATATTGCATTTATTTGATTCTTGTCCGGATGGAGTCATTATGATATAGATTGAGGATTTTGTAAGGAAGTTACAAGATTGAAAATCAGAAGCTTTTGTATAGGTCTGAAATTTCAATGCAAGACTGCAAGCTTAATTTGCTTAACACTTTACTTCAAGCTTTGCTAAAACCTACACCTATCAATAGTAAGTTTAATAAATCAATGGACTGATGTAAACATTATAATTAATTTTGTTCTTGAAGATAAAATAATAATATAATATTCACAAATACTAGTTTTGCAAATTTTGAGAGTGTTAACTTTGGAAAAAAATTTAGATTAGTGCTATTTTATGATATTTCTCTAAAATATATATACTAGTATTTCAAAGAAATTGATTAACATAATATAAAATCTAATATGGAACTATCAAAAAATATTTTGGATAGTAAAATATTTAATTATCAAAAAAGATTTGTGTTCTTTTTTTTTCTGGTAAACGGGAGGAGACGATAATCTCCATAATTTATTTATAGAAAATAAATGAATTACCATCGAACATTACGTAAGAATGCAGTTTTGGGGAATGCAATACAATTTTTATTAAAAAAAAAAAAGAGATTTTGTGGTAAAAAATAACATGTGAGATTTGTGGTGGAAAATAATAGATTTTTTTTGAAAATTTTTATGTACAAAAAATGATTCGAACAATATTAACATTGGAGGAACAAAAGATAGAAATAATAACAAAGATAATATGAACAAAGTAATTTGTTAAGCTTACATTGTAAGTTCATTTGAATATAGAAAAATAAGTTAATTAAACGATTTGTTATATTTTTTCTCTTTATCACACAAATACTACATCAACTAGTATACACATAAAAGCGTGTTATACAAATGCACTTATCTGCTCAATATTACAAATATAATAAAACATAACAAAACTTTTAGATATTTTTAGCCGGATATACATTAAGAGCATCTCCAACCCAAGGTTATTAGCTGAGTTCCGAGCTTAAAACATATTAAAAATAAATAAAAAATAAATAAAATGATAAAGGTGGGTTGTTAATGAAGAGTTTTAAGGATAGGTTCGTGTTAGATGTGCACATTATTATTATGGTGTGTCATAGTATTACTGGTTGTGAATTGTTGGGCAAAAAAATAAAATTGAATGCACTTCTGTCTCTCTCTCGCTTCTCTCTTTTTTCTTTCTTAACTTTAATTAATATTAGGTAATAAAAATTTATTAACAACTCTCTTTACGAGTATGTTGTTGGAGATGGTCTAAGAAGACGAGTGTTCTTTGTTCTTTCAAATGCACAAATTAAACTTAACTTATGTTCTATATGAATACAAGTTTAAAATCTTATAATTTCATAAAACAAACTTGGTGTCATTATGAATACCTATTGTTGATACATACCAATCCAATCCTAAATCTTATATTTATTTTTTTTTCATTTAAAATAATAAATATAATTCTTTAATGAACTACAAAAATGTGTGTATTATAAAAATAGAAATTTCTTTTTATTTTATTTAACCACAAATATTTAAATTTTTGGGATGGTGGCATAACCCAATCTAAGATATTCAAAGAATTTAGACCTCTACTCAGTTGATTTGATAAATTTCTACAAGAAACATAGCAAAACATGATGGAGATTTATATCAATCTGTTAGATTCACCAAGCGATAAGCAAAGATAAGTTGCATATATAACAGTAGATAGTAGCTATAGGTCATACAAGAAGCAAAATCTTCTCTAAAAGTCAGAGAAGCCAAAACTTTTACTATAGTCTTTGCTAAAACGTTAATTTCACTCAACCCGTGAGTTCATCGTTGACAACAGTTAGAATATACCAGTCCGGTAAAAAGCTAACCGTGTGACAAGAATAAGTTGAGCCCTCAACATCCATAATGATAAGAACATCTTCTTCATTAACCAAATGAGATGATGCGTTGAACTTTTCAACATCTTCTTGGCAACAAGATTCATTACAATTTTTATTTATTTATTGGTCCTTTCAGGGCTTAGCTGTCACGATTAATCATCCAATTAATAAATACAACGTTGACTAGAGAATAATAATAACGTTATCTGATTTCCAATTGAATCTTAATCTAAACCAAAAACTAAATTTTCTCACTTTGAGTTTGCAATCTCACAACTTTTCAAAACTGAACAATACATTTGTATTAGAGTAGAAGCAAGTGAAACCCATCGTTGATGACACTTTACTCAACCCATCTTAAATCGTCAAATATTCCCACAATACAAAAACGACGTCGTAAGTACTCTATGATCTCTCTATATAACCAAAACAAATGAAGTAAGAGTTAAGAAGAATCTTCATACTAGAAAAACAATGGAGCTCTCTCAAGTCTTCTTCACCATTTTCTTATTCTTCCTTCTCTCACAAGCAAACTCAACAACCGATCTGATCTCACAAACCTGCAAATCTTGCGCAGCCAAATCCGCGATCTTCGACTACAGCTTCTGCGTTTCATCTCTCAACAACTCTCCAATATCTCTGCCTTCTCCGACCAATCTCTCATCTCTCGCCCTAGTTCCAATGCTCCAAGCTCTCGACAACGCCACAGCAACAGCTTCCACCATTCAGCAGCTTCTGATTGTCGACGATGAAGGCGGTTTCCGCGGCGCTTGCCTCCGTGACTGCCTCGAGCTTTACCAGGACGCCGCAGATAGATTAGAGGAGGCAGTGAGGGTTTTTGTAACGAGGGAAGAGTTGGGGACGGTGAACATAATGGTGAGCGCAGCCATGGAATCCGCCGTTACTTGTGAGAACGGGTTTAAGGAGAGAGACGACGGTGACAGTGACGCTGACGGTGGTGGTGATATGACCTGGACGTCTCCTATCGCTAGTGAGAATCACAAACTGTTTGAGTTTGGTCAGATTGCTCTTTGTATAATCAATATGATCTCTTCTTCTGTCACATCTATATCTTTCTAAATCGTTTTCAATAGTATATGGTGATTGGTGAGTGACCTTTTAAAGCTTTTGTTTGTATGAAAAGCGACAAAAGGATAAAGTGATAGCGTAACCAATAATCTCTAATGCATTTAAATGCTCACAATATTCGTTACAAGTTGCAACTTACAAGTTACATCTTCCTCTCACATCCACACAGACACAAGAACTGATGTAACCAAGTTCTTCTTATCTATATCTTTGTGTAACATGTACTACTAAGACAACAGGAGTAACTAACTTTTCAATTTAAGAGGTGAAGACGTACCCAAAAATAGTTAAAACCTTACGCCAAAGTCTAAATCTAAACGTATAATAACCGCCAAGAAAAAGTCTGATAACTTGTAAAAAGCTTCCACTTTCATGGACATGAATACAACAACAAAATCCCACTTAGAGAGCGTAGAAAAGGAAACCCTAACCATACACATACACACAGCTAACAATCTCACAATTTCATCTTCTGCTGCTTAATCTATAAGACCAATCACGATCGTCCCTGTCCCTGTCCCTGTCCCTGTCCCAGTCCCTGTCCCAGTCTCTATCCCTGTCCCAGTCTCTGTCCCTATCCCTGTTCCTGTCTCTATCTCTCTCTCGGAAATCAGCATCATAAGAAGAATAATCCCTCTTACTTCTTTCGGATCCAGATCTATCTAACCCCGGGCTTCTTGATCTAGAGCTATAATCTTTTGAACCATACCCGTAATCATATCTACTGCCATACCTTGGAGGATAACTAGATGATTCAACACCAAGCGGACCATCATCTCTGTAATCATTTCCTCTGCTTGTTCTTTGTTGCCATCGACCGCTTCTGTTGTTGTTCCTATGTGAAGGAGCAGCTTCCCAAAGCCACTCATCTGCGTTTTCTGGCAAGGGAGCGTTAATTCCTGGAAACTCGACTGTCTTTTTCAATTGTGGCTCTGGAGGGGGTGCTTTTTCCAAAATTTCCCCATCCTCACTCTCCATTTCCTCCCGATTCTCCACCTCTTCTCCAAATATAGTGATTCCAGACATATGGTCATCTTCTGGAGCTAGAGACATAAGCACAGGAAGAAGCAGATACAATAGAAAGTGTGAGAACATCTAGTATAGTTTAGCTCCTGTGCAAAATCCACTTCTTTTCCATGTACATGAATGATAAGAAAACAGAGCATTAAAGCTTACCTAAGTAACCTGGAGGGTACCCAATCTCTCGCATTCTGTTAAGCCAAGGAGGTGGATCTAGTTCCTTCAAAAGAGGAAAGCAATGATCTAAGAAATCTGGAATCGAGCATATTGGTAAGAGCTTATACAAAGAAAAAAAAAGGTTCAAAATTACCCCAAGATTCAGAAGCTGGCGTGTCTCTGCATCAAGTGTGCCAGGTTTCAAGCCATCGTACTTTCCAGTTTGAGCTTTTTGATAATATCTTGATGGTAGACGGGGACCACTACTACTCTGATTTCGTTTAGATTTCTGAAGCTTCCGGGCACTGTTAACCGCTAATCGATCAAAAGGCTTTGGACATTCTCTTAGGGAATGACTATAGCCACCACAATTGAAGCAACGTGGAGGGTCATCATCAATAATCTCCAATCCTCTGAAACAATAGGTACATTAAATGTTACATGAATGCACCCATTAAACATTTACTGTTAGGTTATTCTACAAAAAATCTAAGTAAAGCAGAAGTAAAGGTCTGTTATAGATATAATACGAAACAGGTGGATGTTGCTACAAATTTTAGATTCACTTTACCCTTCCAAGTTTCTTGAGCCATCTGCTAAACCAATTGCAAATTTACGGTCATAAAGAGGAGTGCTGCTACTTTCCACTAAAATGAACTGTTCTAACTGCTTCGGACCAGTTTGGTTATCGATCCAGTATGACTGTGTAAGAAAGAATGCACCAATTGTCATGTTATGAAGATTACTGATATAAATAGTTAACAGTTTTTAATAGCGCTGACAACATTTTCACTCACCACAGATGAAGTCTTCTGCAATCCAACACGTAAGGCGGGAAAATATGTCTCTTCACCAGATTCTAATGGCTGTTCTTGATTCTGAGAATATAACCAATGAAAAGACTCTACCTTTAAGTTTCATACATTATAGGTCAACAATTTATATTCGAATAAAACCCTAGTCAACAAACAACTTCCCCATGTGAAGTTTATAATCTTATCATATAAACTAAAAGATTTTGATATCATGGACTATTATAAGGATGCCTAAGTCAATGCTAGTTCTGTTTTACATAAGCAAATAGTTGGTTCCTTAGTACAAATATGGCTAAGGCCTATCTAATGCAAGGATATCAAATTGGAGATCCACAGCATAGTTATAGATACTTTACGGCTAAGGCCTATCGAATGCAAGGATAGCAAACAGGAGATTCAAAGCATGCATAATATCGATATTTTATATGGTCCCTGAGTATTTAGTATTAAATACTTGCACACTTCTTCAGCTCGGTATTCAATAAAGATTTTCTTAACAATATCTTAATTGATCAAATATGGAAAAATGATAACAGTCCCTGTTAAATTCACTACAAAGAACATTTTAGAGAGTAAATGACCTCCTCCATACAGACATACCTGAGCCGAGGACGTGTGTTCAGCCTCCCATTCTGACCATTGCTGTAGTAAACTTTCCAGCTTCTGCTTACTATCTCTGAAAGATGCAGTCCATTAACAATTGAAACAATGGTAAAGCCACAAATCACATAATAACAGAAATGCTTAGGTAAGCACCACTTTATGCAACTTATAGTTACATGCAGTTGAGTTGTGACTTGTTTTTCATCTAACCTTGTCAAGTGTTTATAAGTAACATGGACAGTAGGCTGTTGTTCGTCAGATGATGTTCGGGGTCTTTTAACACCTGATTTAGCTGCTATATTGAATTATGGAAAAAAAAAAAAGAAGCTAACATAATCACAGACATCGAGTCTGAGTAACAAATAACTACCAAAACAGATCAAGTGCCATGTCTAATCAAAATTGCAAGCAACCTTCAACATAGAAGGGCAAAAGAAGGATACAGCTAACATCCAAAGTGGCACTGTGAGATAGTGTCTCTTTTGGAATACCCACTTTCTCATCTACCACCACACTTTCAACACTTACATTGAAACCGTCACTAACCTGCTCTGTTAATATTTCCCCAGACTCCTGGCCACCCACACCCACAGTTCTCAAATTCTCTTCTCTCAAATCCAAATCTTTCTCCATATCTACATTTCCTGTCACGTTCTCATCATTACCAACTAAAGGATTAGCCTCAGGTGACCCATTCCCAGATTCAAGGCCATTTTTCTGTACTTCCAAACCAGAATTATTTGAAGCTGGCAGGTCAGTCACATCCTCAGCTTCCATTTTTAGACAAAACTGTAAGCTTCTATATCCTCAAAACAATTTCACTAACCACCCATAAAAAAAAATACCCCTGTTATAAGAAACGACAGTATCAGAAATGCCAGAACAAAATATAAGAACACTACATATTTTCAAGACCAAAAGAATCATATCCAAAACAAGCTACATAAGATTTAGTACCCTTAAGAAAAGAATCAACAAATCATATCCAAAACAAGGCTCACAAGATTCATTTCCCTTAAGCAAAGAATCAACAAATCAAATCCAAATCAAGCTACATAAGATTTAGTTCGCTTAAGCATAGAATCAGCAAATTATATCCAAAACAAGGCTAACAAGATTAAATGAATCAACAAAAAAAAAAAATCAACATTGATTGAATGTAAATTACTAAGAATGAACAATCTACCAAAAAAATTCAGCTCCTAGAGCGATTAATTGAATCCCAGCTCGTTTCATCAATCCAAAAAACCAAACGAAAATCCAGAAAATTAGGGTTCAAGACTACAAGATTACATTGCATATCTACTCAATCCGAAACTAGGGTTCAAATATTCACAAAATAAACTCACCAGAGCTTAATCTACTCAATCCCAAACCTTAAGCATATACTCGCATAGCAGAAACTATAGAAATATTTTGGAAATTTTGAAGAGGAAGACGAAACGACATGAAGGATTCGTCGGTAGAACTTATGGAAAGCTACAAAGAAAGTAACAAGAAATTGAAGCTTGGAAGAGATTTTACAAAGAGAGAGAGAAAGCTTAACCTAGTCAATGGAGAAGTTTGCAGAAGCAAACAAAGAAGTGAAGAAGCAAAAATGGCGATAGAGAGATTAGATAGATCTGTGAGATTTTAAAGGAAGAAGACTGTTTTATTCATCCGCCCAAGACTTAAAAGAATAAAGAGACAATTATCCAATGCTACGCAGCGCACTGAATTTACTATGAGCCTAGTCAACTTACAAAACGGTGCGTGTTTGATTTACCAAATTATGAGCCTAGTCAACATACAAAACGGTGCGTGTAAGAAATACATTGAATAAAACTTTTTTTTTTTGGTAAGTAATCTTTTTTTTTCCCCAAATTGAAAATTTGAATGACGACCCGGTTTGGTAACCCAATTAAATGCAAAGACGAACCGGTTCGATGAATGGTGTGTGGTGGTGAGTGAAAGGGACGATGAAATTGAAGCTTTGATGGAGACGATTCTTACCGATTCCGATATCTTCTGATCATCCTCTTATGCAGTGTAAGTAAAATGCGATTTGGTGTTGTTCTGATTTATCTTTTGATTCTGTTTTCTTCCCGAAATCGAATTCATAGATTTTTAGGGTTTAAGCTTTTTTCTGGGGTTACGAATTCGTTTGCTTGGATTTAAAGACAACTCCTTTTTGAGTCTTACTGTGTTATTGATCTTTTTTGTTGTGAACAGTAACTTGGGTTTAGTAAAGATATGGATAGAATCAATGGATTGCCTGATGAGGTGCTAGTGAAGATATTAACGTTTCTTCCAACAAAGAAAGCTGTATCCACTAGCATTTTGTCTAAGCGTTGGGAGTTTCTTTGGATGTGGTTGCCTAGGCTCGACTACTTCATCTACATTACTAAATTGGGTACAAAGCCTGTGATTCGGGAATTTATCGAAAAGACTCTGCCTTTACATAGAGCTCCAGTCTTAGAATGCTTGCGTATTGGTTTATCCCCTACTTTTGAACCCAAAGATTTCATACGGTGGATTGATATCGCGGTTTCTCGCCATGTACGTGAACTGGAGATTTCTTATGTTACAAAGTATGGTAACTTATTCCCGAGTAGCTTCTTTACCTGCAAATCGCTCGTGGTCTTGAAACTCCGGTTATTAGTTCTCAGGGATGTTCCCTCTATGGCTTCTCTCCCATCTCTCAAAACTTTGCTACTTCAAAAAGTGTATTTCGTAAATGAAGAACTTCTTCAAGAGCTTCTATCTATTTGTCCTGTTCTTGAAGATCTATCGGTGGAATGTGCTGAAGATGAAGACATGGATGAGTTCACTATTTCCGTCCCGTCTTTGCAGAGATTATCACTCTCTATACCGTATGATTGGTTCTTGGAAGGGTTTGAGATAGATACTCCTTCTTTGACCTATTTGAAACTTCATGATTGGAATGAATGGGATCACTACTCTTTGATTAAAAATATGCCTAAGTTGAGGGAAGCATATGTCATTGTTAAACCCTTTCTTCTCAACAGTGTTATTAATTCAATCACATCTGTCAAGCGTCTTACAATATGTTCAGAGGTAATTAATTTCCATTTATCATTTGCAAGTTTTCAATCTCATTAATTTATAGAATCCTCTGTTAGTAGTAATTTTGATTTATGTGTGCAGGATGTGTATTGTGATGGTTTTGTCTTCAACCAGCTTGAACATCTGAAACTATGTGGGTGCCAAGAGGAGTCGTCGAATCTCCTTGGCCAGTTCCTCAAGGATTCTCCTAAGTTGCGAGTATTAGACATCTCTGTAGAGGGAGTAAGTTTCTTCGATATTTTTTCTGTTTATCTGATCCCCAGTATGGTTATAAACTAATTCTTCTGTTTGGCCACAGTTTCATGGGGATAACTGTGATGGTATGGTTTGCTGGAATCAACCGAGTCTTGTTCCTGAATGCTTGTTGTCGAGTCTGCAAATTTTCAACTGGTCACAATACTCTGGGAGACCACAAGAGAGAGATATCGCGGTTTATATCCTGAAAAACGCTCGTCACTTAAAGAAGGCAACAATTTTGGCTGATACAGATGAACATGGTGTTTCTAATCTTCAGATGATCAAGGAGTTGACACTTTCTCCCTGAGCATCAAGCACATGCCAACTCGTATTTGTTGAGGACTTGAAATCGTTTGTATAACGTAATTCTTATTTCCAGCAAAGAGCAAAAATGTATTCTTCCTTGACCTATACTGCTATGTGCTATGTTAATTGCACTGTGCTTTAGTTTTCTTCAAGGGTTTTGTTCTTTTCCTATATATATGTGTGGCTGTGTTACGTAAACTTGAATTAAGACAAATCCTTTGAGTTTTTTTGTAATATTCTTTATATATCTTATATTTCAGTAGCAGTGTACGTGAATTTGTAAGATATGGACGACAACATCAGTAATCTGAATGATGACTTGCTGGTGAAGATACTATCGCTTCTTCCAACAAAAGAAGCTGTATCCATGCGTTGTGTCTAAACGATGGGAGTTTCTTTGGATGTGGTTGTCTGAACTCGATTTTATTTCCTGTTGCAAACCAAATTGGAATGAAAGGCCTGAACTTGGGGATTTTATAGACAGGAAGTTGCCATTACATAGAGCTCTGGTCATCGAAAGATTACGTCTCGACGTAACTTGGAACCCATATATCGAACCTAAATGCATCAAACGGTGGATCGAAATCGCAGTTTCTCGTTATGTACGTGAGCTAGAGATTGTCTGTAAGTATGCAGACGACATACTACCGAGTAGCTTGTTTACTTTCAAATCGCTTGTGACTTTGAGAATACATAACTCTCATCTATGTTCCCTCTATGGTGTGTGAGTGTGTCTTCCCTCTCTGAAATCTTTGGAACATCTCTTCAACAGCTTCTATCTGGCTGTCCTGTTCTTGAAGATCTATGGGTGCAACTTTGTCGAAATAACAATTCAAGAGTGTTGACTATATATAGTCATCCCGTCTTTGGAGAGGTTATCACTTTCTTTAGACAAATGGAGTAATTTAAATAGGTGTGAAATAGATACTCCTTCTTTAAAGTATTTGAGTGTACTTATGGTTGAGGAAGGTAATATTAATCTTGAACACCACTACTCTTCTTCTTCGATTAAGAATATGCCTAAGCTACAGGAAGCATATATTATAATAATTGTACTGCTTAGAAATTATATTTAAAAAATTGAGAAAAATTTCTGAAATTTTCCAAATCATCCAAAATATTTCTCTTACAATTAACTTTTTTTTTTTCAACTGTCTTAAAATTAACGTTCAGAAAAAATAATAATAATTACACTTTACAAAATTATTGAAAGTTGACTGTTGCGAACATAAAGAAAATAATCTTTTGTTACCGTTGCTATGAAGAAAAAAAAAGGAAATAATTAATAGAAATGAAACCTCTTAATTAATTTCCTTTATTAATCGGACCGTTGTGAGAGATAAATATCAAATTCCCTTTTTATTTGAACTTTATAATTAATTTGTTTCTCTCTCTCTCTCTCTCTCAACTCAACGCTTCTTTCTTCTTCTTCGTTCTTCCTTGAGAGAGAAATCAAAACTCTTCTTCTTCATCTTCTTCTTCAAAACCCTAAATCCATCAATTTCTTTTGAATTCCGATGATGATGATCCACCGGAATCATACTTATACACACTCTGTAAATTCCGATGATAGTGATCCAATCCACGTGGAGAGACGTATTGAAATAAAAGCAATCCAAGGCGACGATGATCCGTGAGGATAAGATTGGAAAGTAATTTTTGATTTATCATCGTTTCGTTTCGTTTAATTGATTGAATGAGAGATCAGATCTGATCTCCTCTGTTCTTCTTCTTCTTCTTCTTCTTCTTCTTCTTCAATCTAAAATCAATATCCAGATTTCACAGGATATTGAATCTAGCCACGGAGACGAGCGAATTCAAAAGTGAAGAGAGGAATCGAATCAATGTGAGGTATTCGTAATAGTCCTCTGTCTTCTTTGGATTTGAATTTGTTATCTACGAGACTTATTATTAGAGAATAGAGATGACGATGATGTTTAGTGTCTAGAGAATGAATACCTAATTGTAAATTTGGAACATATCACATAGTTTGTTGTGGATGCTGAAACTTGTGATAAGCGTAGGTAGTGATTGGTTTGATGCATCACAGCACAATTATTGGGGAAGAGCCATGTTCGTGTGTGCTGAACAATTATTGGGGAAGAAGAAGCTGGTTAAGCATATATGGTCATCTCATTTAGATTCCCTTCTTTATAGTTTATGTACTTGTGTCTAAAATGTCTAATCATATGCTACTTAATATGACTAGGTACTTGATGGATGCTATGTTCCTGAGAGAAGCAATGAATCAAAGTGTTGATAGTTTGAGTCCATAGTCTCTGCTCACCGGAGAAGAGGTTTTACAGGCTTTATACAGAGAAGAGTTTCAGTAATGATTACAGCCGCAGACCTATACTGAAATATTGAGATCAAACCTTGCAAACACAGTTCTGACCTTCGATTTTATGGATGCTCCTGCTCCTGAATTGAGCCTTTGAAGTTTTGAATTACTTGGGAGGACTGGATGATGATGAAGGTAACTTGACAAATACAGGTGAGATAATGAGTGAGTGAGTTAGTTCCCCTTGGATCCACAGATGGCGAAGATGCTCATAGTCATTCCTGGATTCAACTGCTCAAACAAGATTCTCTAAGTTTCAGCCATGCTCTCAGGTACGCCCTTACTTTTGTTTGCTAGTCTTAAACTTGCTACCAATTTCCATTCTTCAACTAGACTAATGTGCATTAGCCTAAGTACTTAAATGATGCAGATTCTCAGTTATTCTCTCTCATGAAGCAAATGGTATCAGTCTCATAGTAGTTGCGAATTGCTTTATTCGGTATAGAGAGGCTCAAAGCAGAGGAAGCTAAAGCTAGGTTTGGACACATTGGTTGAAGATCACCTCACATTGTTTGAACGTCAAGCAAAACAGTAAGTAATTTATCCCTTTGTATGTAGCTGCTTTAGACAATTAAAATTTACTGTAACTAACTTGGTCAATGCAAAATTTCACAACGATGAAGATGCCAATTGGTGCTATGAAAACAGAGAGATGAAATCTGCAGACAATGATAAGAGAGCAGCTAGTTCAGAGATAATGTCAAAGTTCACAACCTAAAGATGTGCAGCACTCATTTAAACTACTACATCAACATAAGGTAAGGCCATGCTTGTCGGTTATTTCATGCTAGTGGCTTACATAGAACGCACTAGTCATTACTTGACAACCAAGTATGTCAAGACTTGTTGTATCGTTGGACAAGAGAAGCAATCCAAATCAAGGTATTAGCATGTTCGTAATACTCGTCATCTTTTAATTTGATTTGGAGAATTCATAAATTTGTGTGGTATTATAAAATAAAGATTGACATCTCTGATTCTCATGGGTTAGTTTGGAACATACAGGTGTAACTGCTCCCTCTTGTCTGTGGTTTCAAATTTCAGAACAACCACCAAGTCGCTTCCAGATTCTCAAGACATCACATCCTTGCAGGTATATACTATACTTTCTTACTTTCTTACCTTTTTCTTTTTAGTTAAAGAATAATCATTCTGATTTAAAGATATACAAAAGTAGATTTTTTTAAAATGTTTTTTCACTTCTAATTTTTATGATTTAAAAAACTAAATATCAAAGTTTTTATCAAATAATTTTCAAGTAAATAGTTTTAATTTTTAATTTAACCAAAATATTTTTTTTTATATATAAACTAAGTGTTAAATTGAAATACGTTGAAAACAAACCGGCCCTAGCATCCAGTCCCTTTGGGGTCCGTCAGTTTGGTGTGAAAGTTCAACATGTTTTCATGTATTGTAAATTTAATGCTTAGCATGTTTTAAAGCTTTATATTAAGTAAACTGTTTAGGTTTTCGACTAAGTAACCTAACCTAGCATCCAGTCCTTTGAAAGAAACGTAGTCCTCCAAAAAAATAGGTCTTTGAGGTTTTTATACCAACACGTAAAATGATCATCAAATTTTAGAACTGTTGCTTAGAAATTACGGTTTTTTTTAGCAAATGTATATTTTTCAATTAAGTATATATTAAAATGATATAATATCTAAATGTTGCTATGGGTATGCTTAAACTTGTTACCAATTTTCATTATGCAACTAGTCTAATGCGCAATAGAACTTAGCTTTTGTTGGGATAAGCTTGAAGAAGAAGACTTAGGAGACAAGTTACTTATTCCTAGTTGAGTTATGACTTAGGAATTGGATTGTGTTTAGGAGTTATCTAGATACAATTCCTATTAGAATAAGGTTTATCTCTTCTCTATATATATGAGTTATCAAAGTTGTGATAACCTTGTGAGATTAGAGAGAGATTAAGGGTTTTAGAAGCTTAAGTTTTGAGTTATTTTCTTAAGCAAATAAAGAGAGTTATTCTTTAAATTCTTGAATTCTAATCTTTCTTAAAGTCTAGATTTGGTATCAGAGCTTGACGATCTTGGTTTTACACACACAAATACTAAGATCATCAAACCATGAGTGAGATTGTTCCAACAAGCAACAAGAAGGAGGCTGTTCCCTCTTCTATTCAATGTCCAATGCTAAACAGTACTAACTATACTGCTTGGGCAATGAAGATGAGGTTGCTGTTGCGTGTTCATAAGGTCTGGGATACGATTGATCCTGGATCCACTGATATTGATAAAAACGACCTAGCTAGTGCCCTGATCTTTCAATCGGTTTCAGAATCTCTTATGCTGCAACTTGGACACTTAGACACCGCTAAGGCTGTATGGGATGCGATCAAAACACGCAACCTTGGAGCAGAAAAAGTAAAAGAAGCACGACTTCAAACTCTTATGGTTGAGTTTGATCGATTGACGATGAAGGAGACAGACACCATAGATGACTTTGTTGGCAAGCTTTCTGAAATTTCTTCCAAAGCAACATCTCTTGGGGAAAGCATTGAAGAAACCAAGATTGTTAAGAAATTTCTTAAAAGCTTACCAATGCAGACGTACATACAGATTTCGGCCACCCTTGAACAAGTTTTGGATCTCAAAACAACATCTTTTGAGGATATAATTGGGAGAATCAAAACTTATGAAGAACGAATAAGTGCTGCAGAGGTATCACAAGAGAATCAAGGCAAGCTTATGTATGCAAACTCAGAGTCATCATCATCCGGTCATGATCAAGAAGGAGGACAAGGCAGAGGTCGTGGTGGTTATCGAGGCAGAGGACGAGGTCGAGGAAGGACAAATTACCAACGTGATACATCCAAAGTCACGTGTTATCGATGCGACAAGTTAGGACACTATGCGTCTAATTGTCCG